AAACAAGACCACTAGAGTAGGGGCATAGTGGACTAAACAAGACCACTAGAGAAGGGGCATAGTGGACTAAACAAGACCACTAGAGTAGGGGCATAGTGGACTAAACAAGACCACTAGAGTAGGGGCATAGTGGACTAAACAAGACCACTAGAGTAGGGGCAAGATGGCATAAAGTAACACCAGTATTGACTCTTGGCGGGAAGTGTTAAAATGGCAACTTGTCCCATCATAAAAAAAAGTAGATAAGAAATAATGACATTGTTAGATAAGAAATAATGACACTGTTAGAATGGCTGGTTACAGTACAGTATCTTGTTCATAACTGCACTGTACAGTATTAAATGATCAACAAACTATATAATCTCTGCACTTATTATGAACGATAACATTGTATATTATTTCATTATATAAAAAAATTCTCATTATTCAAATTTTTCATGATATTGTGTAAACGTGAATTAGAAATGTCTTTATTTTAATGACTTCAGAGCAGTGAGGCAGCAATATCGACTCTTGTATTGTTGGATGAACAAGGGGGTAAGGACCATATACATAATATAAGGGTGGCTTATTACTTTATTGTGCATCTTTTGTTTGGCTATATTGTTTTATATTTCACAACAGAGTTTGGCTATATAGTTCTTATATATTTCACAACAGAGTTTGGCTATATAGTTCTTATATATTTCACAACAGAGTTTGGCTATATAGTTCTTATATATTTCACAACAGAGTTTGGCTATATATAGTTCTTATATATTTCGCAACATAAGAATTACAGGTTGACAATCCCTTATCCGAAATCCTTGGGACCAGAGGCATTTCGGAATTTTTTGGTTTTCAGAATGGTTAGGATTTTTTTTTTTTTTTTTATTAGCCCATCCGCGCACAAGTCACTGACCCACATTGGGGCCTGGGGGGCGAAAATATAATAATAATAATAATAATAATAATAATACAGGTTAATAATAATAATTCATAGGTCTAGGTCATGTTACTCACTTTTTATCTTTTTTTCAGTCTTGTATTTCTTTATTATTATTATTATTATTATTATTATTATTATTATTATTATTATTATTATTATTATTATTATTATTTTATTAATACAGGTTGTACCTCTCTAGTCCGGCATTCTGTGGTCCGGAACGATTTTAGTTTGTCCAATAGGTAGATAGGCAGCTTTTTTGTTTTTATATGAATTATTATTATTACAGGAGTATTAAATTTTGCCCCTCAGGCCCCAATGTGGGTCAGTGATGACCTATGCCCGGTGGGCTAATCCTCAAAAAAAAAAAAAAAAAAAGCCGCGTGAAATTAAGGTTTGTTTACATCCGGCAGTTTGGCTGCTCTCTCTCTCTCTCTCTCTCTCTCTCTCTCTGTGCTTGTCTATACAGAGTACAACATTTAACCCTTCAATATATATGAGCAGTAAATAAGTGTTGCTTTCATATTCTTATGTAGAGTAATGATAGGTTTTCACATGTGCGCACTTACATACGCGCAATCTCACTTTCTTTTTACCATTAATGGTTAGCTACTTATATTGTTCCATTTATTAACATTAAATAACATTACAGGTACTTCAAACAACCATATTCATTTTTTTACATTTATTTTACTACAGCTAAAATCAGGGTCTTATTTTCTTCAGTTTTATATGTAGAACCAATCAGTCACTGGTTTTGTGAGCTTTAACATAAACAATGCCGGCAGCCGTCTCGTCTCTAATATTCCACGTATTATTAATAAATTGTATTGTTAATTTTGCACACACAAACATTAATTCAATAAAAACAAATTCAGAAACATTAATTAACATATATGTGAACAGTAAATAAGTGTTGCTTTCATATTCTTATGTAAAGTAATGACGATATGTCTTCACGTGTGCGCACTTACATACGCGATCTCTCTTTTCTTTACCATTATCGTTAGCTACTTCTATTGTTCCATTTATTAATGTTAAATAACATTACTTAAAACAACCATATTAATTTTACTACAGCTACAGCCAGGGTCTTATTTTCTTCAGTTTTATATGTCAAGTCACTGGTTTTGTAATCAACGAAAACAATGCTGTGTCATTTCCTCGTGTTTTAATATTCTACGTATTATTAATGAATTGTATTGCTCATTTTGCACACATAAATATTAATTCAATAAAAAAGACATTTAGTAATAAACAATAATGAATCCTTTGTACATAAGGGAAATGACGCTGTTTACACGATTATGCACGTCGTCTGCACGTTGGCGGGCCGTTCAAACCCGTCGAAATTCAAGTTTCCGCCGTCAAAATTTTTATTTATTTATTTTTGTGTGTTCCAATAAAATACGTTGAGAATTAAAAACTCGCGAAATTTGAGAAGCTACTATACGACATTTAACCCTTCAATATGTCTTCAAAGAGACCATGATGCAGAGAAAGTGGTGCTAGTGCTTCCAAGCATAAGCACAAGTCACCATCTATCCAGGAAAAGGGTGAATTTCCATGGTCCGGCACCGGTCAGGTCCCGAGGTTGCCGGACTAGAGAGGTACAACCTGTTCAGTGTTTTTGTTATCATTATTATTTTATTTTGGTGTATTTTTTAATTAAAATTTTTATTTACTATGAATAATTACAGGTATTATTGTAATTATTATTATTATTATTATTATAATTAGTATTACTATTACATTTTTGCCCCCCAGGCCCTGATGTGGGTCAGTGATCTATACCTGGGTGGGCTAATCCCTGTAAAAAAAAAAAAAATTGCTCCACAAAAAACTTTCGGTTTTCGGAATTTCGGATAAAGGTTTGTCAACCTGTATTACATTGTCACCGACGACGCCATCTTTAGGCCTGGCCGTAGGAATAACTTGACACGTGTTAATTGTTTTGGGTGGTGGAGCTCGGTGGTGGGAACAGAATGGAGTAATTTTTATTGCATTGCTTTGCATTTATTTGACTTATTATTTGGTTATTTTTGTTTTCCTCCTCGGTGAAAGTATTGGGTGACTCTCTTGCTGGTAGCCCGGAGTATTGGGGGGGGGGGGTTTAGTTACGTTTTTTCATGTTGTCTTTAGTCTCTCTCTCTCTCTCTCTCTCTCTCTCTCCTCCTCCGCTAACTTGTCACCACCCCAGGGCTACCAAAAAGTGTATCACTCAATATAGTTTATCGCCACATTAGGGTCCAGTGTTGTGTGGACATACGCAGCCAAACCCCTTTTCTTTTTCTTCCGTCGATAAATCCCGACTTATTTATTAATGTTTGTTTTTCTGTACGGTGAGTTAATTATTTACTCTTCCTTCTGTAGAGCGAAGACGCCGGTGCCAAAACGTTATATATGTTAGGAGAACAAGGGGGTAAGAGCTTATTTATTTCTCTATTGTTTTCCTTTTGTTTTGTTATATATACTGTGCCTTGAGCCTCTTGCATATTATTACTTTACCCAAGATAATATATTAATCCCTCTTGCTGATCATACTAACAATCTTCTTCCTGATTGACATAAACTTTAATGCCTCACAACATTTTAGACTTCAATGGGAATCAGGTTATTTTTTCTACTCTGGTTTTGGTGAACATGTTGCATAAATATCAATCTATATCTACCTTATTGTTCTATATAGTTGCAATAGATACATCCTTTGGGAACAGGAGGCATCCAATGAAGGGTATAACATCAAACATCTGGATTTATTGAACCTATGGTTTTGGAGAGACTTGCCCCCATCTTCAGGCGATTGAAAATGAATTGAAAATGAGAGTAGGAGCACGTACGGACACGACAGTCGTTTAAGATATAAATAAAGATGGAACGTTAATCGAAGTAAACAAAAATGTGATAAAAAAAGAAAAAATATTAAAATGCAAACAGAAGCGTCCAACGTTTTAAACACGAGGGTCGACTACTAATAAAATATTAACAACACAGTAGATTAGTTGACCTCTTGTTGCTACACAGTGAGGGTTTAAACTGGGTCACACTGCTCGTTAACTCTGGTTGTTGTGTTGGTGACAGCTTAAACACTGGGTCATGCAGCTCGTTAACTCAGGGTGTGGTTGTTGTGTTGGTGACAGCTTCTACACCTTAAACACTGGGTCATGCAGCTCGTTAACTCAGGGTGTGGTTGTTGTGTTGGTGACAGCTTCTACACCTTAAACACTGGGTCATGCAGCTCGTTAACTCAGGGTGTGGTTGTTGTGTTGGTGACAGCTTCTACACCTTAAACACTGGGTCATGCAGCTCGTTAACTCAGGGTGTGGTTGTTGTGTTGGTGACAGCTTCTACACCTTAAACACTGGGTCATGCAGCTCGTTAACTCAGGGTGTGGTTGTTGTGTTGGTGACAGCTTCTACACCTTAAACACTGGGTCATGCAGCTCGTTAACTCAGGGTGTGGTTGTTGTGTTGGTGACAGCTTCTACACCTTAAACACTGGGTCATGCAGCTCGTTAACTCAGGGTGTGGTTGTTGTGTTGGTGACAGCTTCTACACCTTAAACACTGGGTCATGCAGCTCGTTAACTTAGGGTGTGGTTGTTGTGTTGGTGACAGCTTCTACACCTTAAACACTGGGTCATGCAGCTCGTTAACTCAGGGTGTGGTTGTTGTGTTGGCGACAGCTTCTACACCTTAAACACTGGGTCATGCAGCTCGTTAACTCAGGGTGTGGTTGTTGTGTTGGCGACAGCTTCTACACCTTAAACACTGGGTCATGCAGCTCGTTAACTAAGGGTGTGGTTGTTGTGTTGGTGACAGCTTCTACACCTTAAACACTGGGTCATGAGGCTCGTTAACTCAGGGTGTGGTTGTTGTGTTGGCTACAGCTTCTACACCTTAAACACTGGGTCAAGCAGCTCGTTAACTCAGGGTGTAGTTGTTGTGTTGGCGACAGCTTCTACACCTTACCACTCATAGGTGGCCCTTGTGTTGACCATCCTGCAATACAATGCCCGACCATTATTATATGTAAAGATGGTAATATAATCACTGTGCTATATACAAGTGTACATCTTTTATCTAATAACTTAAAAAAGAAAGAAGTAATTTCCTACAGATGTGTTATGGACCGTGTTAAGATGAAACACCACATGACTTAACCTCTCTTGATGCATGGCTGGACTGGCCTGAGTGTGTACAGTACAGTAGATGTATTGTCCCGCAGAAGCTCTTTGTGCATGTGTTATGGAAGGCGTTGAGCAGGTTGTCGTGGCCTAGATTAACAAGAATGAACGTCGAGTGTTGTAAACTTTAGCATGGAACCTTGGTGGTGCTTTGAGTTGGTACAGCATGGCTCTACTCATTAAGTTTTCCGCGAATCCGATATGTTTTTATTCTTGTCTCCGGGTGATTTGTTTTATTTATCCCGTGTGATGACGTTTAGAATAATTTGTCATCATCAGTTATTGCCTTCGAGTAATTTATCACTGCCTTCAATTTACTTCAAGTTATAGAAGAAATTTCAGTAAGATATTTTTTAAAGTACTGTTCTGCCTTAACTGTCCATCAACTGTACATACACAGACAGACAGACAGACATAGACAAGCAGCCATAGAGACAGACAGACAGACAGATACATACACCCCGAGTTTTATATCCGGAGCATCACACATTCCCATAGACGTTTATTAATAAGTATATACAATAAACCCTTGCCAGTCACGAGGGAAAGGTTCCAAGAAATGGCACAAATTGGTAAAACCGCAAATAGCAACTTTTATAATACTTTAGTGGACTAATATACAGGTGTACCTTTACTGTGTAGGAGAAACTTAAGTCACAATACAGTATTTATATTCATATGTGGAAGTCTGGAGTTTTCTCAGTTATCACTATGTTCTTGTCATGAACAACCTGCTCCACTTAACACTTGCAGGAGCACTCGCTTGAACAGGATAACGTATTGCTTGTTCATTGTTTCTTATGTACCGCACTGTGGGTTCGTTCACACCAAACAACCGACCAACCGTGGCAGCATTCATCCCCTCCTTTAACTTGTCTAATAATTCAACTTTCTTTGCCAGAGTCATCACTGACTTTTGCCTTTTATGTTTCACTCCACTAGCATCACTAGCACTGACACTAGGCAGTCTTTTAAGGGCCATTTTCACAAAGAAGCACCAAAGTTTTGAGAGTTCAACGTGAGATGCTTGGTCATGTGTACTGAGTGAGGGCAAACAGTGAGATGAGACGGTGCGTGCTTGTGGTGACTCGTCGTGCTGAGGGAGGAGGCTCACATGCTAGCCACCGGAGCCACCAGCTGCTTACCGCGAATGGGAAGGGTAATGAGGTGTGTTTGACTGGGGCCAATTGTCTTGTTCTACAGTTCACTTGTCTGGGGTTCTACAGTTTACTTGTATGGGGTCTACAGTTTACTTGTCTGGGGTCTACAGTTATTGACCACTGTATAAAATAAAACATCAGTAATTATACAGTAAAGTGTAACAGTATAACAACACTGTACATTGCTTATTACAATATATTCCAGTTTATTGTACAGTATTCTCTCAATTTAACAGAATCAGATACAACCAACTCTTGATTTAGAGGAAGGAATTTTTTCCATTATTTTTTGCTTAATTTAGTGAGGTAGTTCGCTGAATTGAGATTAATTCTGTTAATACGCCCACACGTACGGACACACCTCGGACGCAGGTGTACATGGAAACATTATTCATGTCTTACCTTAAACTTGGGGCTTAGGTGTTTTTTAAATGTTTTTCTTATTTTCAATTTTTTTCCAATTGATAGCTACACTCTTTTGACTTTCTCCCCCACACCACTTCCCTTCTGAGACTTCTGAGAGACTTTCAACATGATGTCTAAGCACAGTAGTTAGTTGACCGAGAGGTAGCAGTGAACAACACACGCGGTGGCAGCAGGACACGGATTGAGCAGATGTAAACAGACCCCACGTGCCGAGCGGTGCATTTCACTCAAAATTTGACTACGTAGTTCGCTAAATCGAGTTAAAATAATGGAAATTCGATATAGTGGAAATTTTTATTTAACGAAAAGGGTCGGCTTGAATTAGTTCATTGAATTGATAAAATACTGTATTACTGTACAGTACATTATTTAACTTTGACTATTCTTTGCTTTTATTTTATTTTAGCATTAACCTTCCTGCTTCACCCGCCTCTGCTTGACCTGCATGTTGTATATTTTCTTTGCTTTATATTGTAGAGCCAAGATGCTGGTATTAAGACACTGAATGAACTAGATAACCAAGGCCGTAAGTACTGCACTCACTCTAACACATATTGTTCCCAGTTATGTAATACAGTGTAGATGTCCGAATCATTTGACCTTATTAACTGTGTCTTAAGTAATTGTCCTATGTACAGTACTGTATTAATGTTAAATAAACTTAATTGTGGTTTTTAGTCTTTTGAAAATTGTAATGTGAATAATTGTTTAATAGATGAAGTGTTAATTTTTTGTTAATTTTGATTTTGATTTTGATTAGATAAATTTACTGACTGATACATTTTAGTTATTTTGTAGCTTCATATCAAAAGTGTAATGACAGTTTGCTGTGATGTGCGTGTGTCATATTAAATATTTATTATATTAGAGATACCGTATTTATTTCCGTCAAAGGTTTGTCTATATTCGGTAAAGAGACGACGACTCATTTGTCCATTACTGTACTATATTGAGAGTTTGAACCGTGTTGGGGTGATCCTCAGAGCAACTGGATCGCATCGAGGAGGGAATGGACCAGATCAACGCCGACATGAAGGAAGCCGAGAAGAATCTGACGGGGATGGAGAAGTGCTGCGGTCTGTGCGTCTTGCCGTGCAACAAGTGAGTGAGTTAGCGCACGCGTTGTAGAGTCTGACTACGGACTTGGTGTATTCCATGGGAGTTATAGAAAGGTTTTATTTCTTTACTTCTTGAAACACAATACTGTACAATGTCTGCAATTAAGCCTTTATGTAATACAGTTTTAAATAAACATTGATTAAAATACACAATTGCAATAAATCATTAGAAAATAGAACAAATTATTGTTTTAACTAAGATTATCAGAAAATTTTGGGCTATTAATTTTAGAAGTGAGCTGACATTTGAGCCTCACACAGGACCATTACAAAGTTGACACATTCTCTGATTTTTATTCCAGAACGTAAGTTCTTTCCTTGATTGCGCTCCAAGTTAAGAATCAGGGACTGTGAGAACGGTGACTGTGCAAGGTAATGGCCATCACCAAACGTGAGATTAACATTTCTGGAAATGTCTCACACAATCTTGTTGAAACCAGACATCCTGTTGCAGTTCCTTCTGCTGTAGTTCAGGAGTCAGGAAATCACCGAGCATGGCACATTAGCGTTGAGAGTTGCCTGTGACCGTTTGTTCGTTCTCTTCCAAGAACCAGAGTCAAAGGATTAAGTTAGGGGACACTGCCGCTTAAACTTTTAACTCTCGTAGAGCGTTCTCACGAACCTCAGATGATGGGCCAGAACCGATAATATTACCACCCACCCACCCACCCACCCACCCCTTACAGTACTCTTGCTTTATCACCACTTTTGACAGGAGCTCCGGGTTCATATCCATGACTCACACAGTTCCATATATTGCTTGGTTTGTGGGTATTATTCTCCCTGTCAATGCCTATGATGCCACATAAAAGTCCCGGGTCACAACCGGGGTCGCTATTCGGGAAGCGCGCGCCGGGAGGTCGCTGTCCTCGCCCCGCCCGTGCTCCCGCCTCCAACGCCCGCATCGGTATCTTGGTAGTTGGTTTACGCTCGCTCTGCGCTCGTCGAACAGATGGTCTCGCTCGAGTCGTGCCGCGTCGTTCGTCGAGCGTAAACGGACGGTGAAGTAAATACCACGACGGGCGTTTGACAGCGGCAGCACCCGCGCGTGAGCTCACCGACCGAGGCGAGGGCGTGCTTCCCTGGAATACATCCCAACCGACTGCTTTTTTGTTTCACCAAGATCTTTGCCTTTGTTAATTATCTACAGCCTTTTCAAATTGCAAAAGGCAGTAGATATGGAAACCCATTATTTAATGTATTGCTTTTGCCCTGCTATCATTACCACTATATTATATATCAATTCAAATTTCAAAGTTTTGGCTATCTGCTGCTTTTTGTTTCACTCAGATATTAGCATTTATTTATTTTTTTTCACAATCTACAGCATTTTCAAACTGTATCAAGTGTTATGGGACGCCCTGTACACGTGGATCATTATGGAATGTCATATCTATACTGTAATTGCTTGTGATTCAGAGTCCTGCACCCTAACTGACTCGACCTTTACATGCCAATTTCAAACCATTTTTTTTTCTTTTCATGAACGAAGACTTTTTTTTTTTATTGACTTATTGTAGATACTTTTAAGGCTTGAAATTAGGCGAGGCATGGATTGTTAAGGAACTAGTGCGTGTAACAGCTATTGGCACCATTACTTAGTTCTAGTCCATACTGATAGTTACGTATTAGACTATTAGACGAGAGCACTTTCTGCAGATCATCACAGTTTAAAGAAGATGAATCAACTTGGAAGGGGAAGGAGGATGGTGTAGTGAGCTCCCAGCCACAACGAGTAATGGACGACCGTAATGGCTTAGGTGCATCTGGTGGCTACATCGGACGGTAATTTAACCTTTAACGATCGTAAGAGTAAAGTATATTCTATCTCTCAGAACTATACCAGGCTAGTTTTATTTTTATTCTTTGCATGGAATTTTTCTTTTTCCCTCACTTAATTGACTTGAGAGTAGTGAAGCATGTTTCTTTCACATTTGATAACTTTTCCATTATTTTTTCTCTCTCGAGCATAATTTTCTCTGATAAGGAACATTAACACTGCTGAACTTGAGTCTGCCGTCATACACGTCATGTCATAATGTTGGAATATTCAGCAGTGTGTTACGTGTCATTCCTCTATCCTCCTCTGACATCTCTCTATGCGTACACAGCATCACCAACGAAGCTCGCGAAGACGAGATGGAAGACAACATGGGCCAGGTGAACACCATGATCGGTAACCTGCGCAACATGGCTATTGATATGGGCTCCGAGATAGAAAACCAGAACAGACAAGTTAACAGAATCAACCTCAAGGTACGATAGACATAATTATTAGACTTTTTAGTTCCAGGATCAACCTCAAGGTACGATAGACATAATTATTAGACTTTTTAGTTCCAGACTCAACCTCAAGATACAATAGACATAATCAGAACGCAGGTGCCTTTTTATACACACTACCGGGATTTGGCAGAGGGAAGGGAAGGGAAGGGGAGGGCTCCTTATCCCTTTGAATTATAGAATCTTGAATCACATAATGTTCTGGGCAGCTTTTCAGGACTTTAACCCTACTGCTGTACAAACTTAAGGGTTGTTTTTGTATATTGTTCCGTATCATTTGCTGGAACGAGAGACAAAGTAGGGAGTGATTGAGGGTGAAATTGATCTTCTTGACACTGTAATGACAAGAAAGTCTAAGGTGTTTTTATTGAGTTACAAAGACTGAAAAACAAGACAGTTTAAGATATTTATAATCATTTACAAAGACCAAGACAAATAGATAACAATAGACCACAAATCATTTCATTAATTTTAAGACGTCAAAAAAATTCAGCCACTGTACTTGAATAAATTATTTTCTTCAAATTTCTTTCAAACACACTACAGGTTTTTTTCACAAGTAACATAGCATGAGAACTTTTGACGCACATATGTACAATTACAAACCAATCACAAACATGCTACAGATATAGTATTAACCAATCAGAAACGTGCAACAGGTACAGTATTGACCAATCACAAACATGCAACAGGTACAGTATTAACCAATCACAAACATGCAACAGGTACAGTATTAGCCAATCAGAAACGTGCAATAGGTGCAGTATTAACCAATGAGAAACGTGCAATAGGCAGGTGTTAAGATAGTGTTGGTGACAAATGGCTTCACTAGACAGGTACAGTCTAGTAATTTATTAATTATGACTTCTTTTTTTTTAGGTTTGACAAGATGTACTTTTGTTGTCCAAGGATTTTTGTACTTTATGTAACTCTTGTGTTTTAATATAGGGAATGTGTCCTATGTTTGCTTGATGTTATATAATTATAGGTAGTGTCTGATGTTTACTTAATGTTTATCTTTATTTATTTTAGGCAGCGTCCAATGTCACACATGTCACAGAAGCTAACGAGAAAGCGGGCAAACTTCTCAAATTATAATCTACAATATTTGCCTCGTCCAATCAGGTTTTAAGTTGGGTTCAGTTATATATTTAATAATGTACTATGCGTAGATGATCGTAGTCGTTTGATGTTGAATTGTACGTAGGTGCTGCTAGTGTTGTTGATTTACTTAATGGCCGCCAACTAGGGGTATTTTTTCATTTATTTACACGATATCTCTCTTATTGAAGGTATTTTGAGGGTATTTAAGACTCATTGTATCTAAATCCTCAAGAGTAATTGTAAGCGTAGCGTTAATATCGAAGCGTTGTGTTTGTATGTGAGTAGCACCTTCCGACCAGTGATGTGTTTACAGTACTTAGATTTGCCATTGGACGACCAACCAGCGGGGTATAGTGCTGGTCTTGAGTACTGTAGTAATTATCTTAGAGGTCCTTTTAAGTTTTCCCGTTTGTTATTGTTGATTATATTTGTGTGCTATTGATGGGAGGTGATGTCGTGGTGGTGGGGGTTTCATTGCTGTGGTCTTTGCGCTACAGTATTATATCTGGCTTGTGTTGATGACTTGCTATTAACTGTATGGACTTTTGCAGCCTCTATATTATGCTTTAACATTTGAATTATATTAGTTTGTGGAACAGAAACTAGTATTTATTTATTTAGATTATTTTTTTTTTTTATATACTGTAATATCATTCCGAAACCTTTGACTCATTTCAGGTTTTTTGTCATTAAGAAATATGATTTATTAATTAATTTTGATAATTTGGTACAGGTAATACTGTATTTAATAATGTTTTACAGTACATTACCTCATAGCACATAATTTACACATTTTAATTATATATTTCAGGCGGGTTCCAACACTGCGAGAGTAAATATGGCCAACGAGAGGGCTGGATCCCTGCTGAAGAACGCATAAGTAGTGAAGACGCAGGAACCACCACGTCCAGGGCCAGCACACCACCTTCTGGACGCTCTAGACCACAACACATACCTTGTCTGGGACTTGTCGTACATCCCAAACTGCGTATTTATCAGTATTACGCTGAACGATATCGCAGGGCGTTATGCTCTTCTTATCTATTAATATACCCACGTTAGCTAAACGACTAATACTGGAGGGTCGGCAGTCCCGAGACAACTGCCGACTCTTTGACCGAGTTTGAGGAAATTTTGATAGGGAGTCCTCTTATACACTGGCCCAAATATAGTACAGTACAGTACTAGGAAATATTGAGCTTCCTGTAGGCAAGACGCTGGCCCCTTGCCTAACGGAACTAAACTGTTATACTTTTCCCTGTGTAGAGAATTGATACTTGTTTTGTTATTGTTATAATGCCATTTGTTGATTTTGTAGCTGTAGAAGAGACATCATCCAAGACACATAAATCATTTCTTTTAGTCTTAACATTGGGAAATCATTTTAAGTTTCTTTATCTATTTCATTCATTCATACTTAACTGCACCAAAATAAGACTTCATTATTTAGTTTTAAACGAATCATCTCGAGTTGTGTTAATAAACTATCCAGATATGAGCATTTATTGTATCATATTGATGTGTGTTGTCACAAGCAACCTTCAGCCTCAGGGGTCTTAAGTGTGGCTGAGTATTATTTGTGATGACACTTGTTAAGATCAGTCTAGTAGCCTCTTACAGTACAGTATAGAGAACATCACCAATGGTGAGTCTTACACTTTAATGTGACTTGTTTTCCAACATTAATAATTGAGTCATGTTAAACTGTAAGTCCAAGCTCACATTGGCCTTTCTCATCTCAGATACATCAGACCTACAATACTATACTATAGTAGTTTGGCCCTTATAGTTCCAACTAACCACAAATTATTGTCTTTGCCCGAGACAGAATGATATCTGTGGCTTGCTTCGTTCTCCTTACTCTTGTCAACGTGGGGGACTCTGTGTTTCAGTGGCAGGCAAGGTGTGTAAAGTGACCACTTGGTGCCTCCTGTGATTCACTTCCTCATATTAATGTTTGCCAATATCTGGCTAAAGTGTTCATTACAAACTGTTCTCTTTACCTTCATAAGAACACTTCTTAAACATAGTCAGTTTCTACATCAAGGAGGTGTGTACTTAACTTAATGTATATAAAACTGGACTTAATATTTATTCTCTCTTCATTGAGAAAGTTGATGCATTTATCTTCATCAAGTTGGTCCTCTTGTCTTGCCACCAAGGTACTCTTATTCAGTACTGGAGCCTGACCCTCCACATCCTCTCCTAGTTTCAAAGTACAGTATACATTTTGGCAATATAGGACTACATATGTAAGTCAAATTGGGGTAAATTTTATTGTAGACACTGGATTGTAAGGTGTTGGAGAAACATAATTATGAGATTAACAAATTAAAATTTGTGCAAAACTAATGCAGGTTTTTATAATTTTTTGATACCAAATTTGGTGACCCAGGAATACTGTGGCTAAGGAACAGTTATACTGTTGTATCTTGAATGACTTTAGTTTATCCTCTTTTATTTTACTGAACCAAACATTTAGATAAATAATTTTTCCTCCTAAGGTTTTACATTATTGAACACTCAATTATTTTATTGTTTTGTAACATAAGGGATCAAAACTAGACCATAGCCAGGTAGTGTCTGGGCCACCATTACTCTTAATGTTACAAAATATGATTCAAATAAATCGTCATCTTCTGCCTCCATTGATAATAAGGCTTTTTTGTAGCTATCGACGCGGAAAACCTCCTCGGGGTTATACTGAAGCCAGTCCTCGGTACTTTGGTTGGTTCTTGTAGGTTAATATTTGAGTTGGGAAGGTTCCTCATGTGGGATGTGTAAACAGCTTTAGTGCATGTCACCGACTCACTCACTTGTGTAGACCGAGTGAAACATTAGAGGGATATTTCTCCTTTTAATCCCTTCATTTATTTACTACTGTTTCTAAGTGTGGTGAGTACAGTGGGTTTGTCATCTTATTCAAACTTTAGTTGTATCACATTTACATTTTGAAGTATTTGTTTGACGATGATTCAGGTTGCATATTATCTCCTGGTTTTTTAGTCTACAAATTCACCGTTGTTATTACAAAACTTATCAGTATTAGGGCTAAGGATCGGCTCGACTATTTTATGTACCCGTTAAGATTGGTGTAGATTTTGTACAGTCAGGTGTTGCCTAACTGTAACACATGGTTGTAAGCTGTGATACTCTACCTTGGTTTGAAGTAACATGTTAGGTCATATCAAAACTAATAAAAGTGGTAAGATTTTGGTAGAACATTTTCTTAGTACTTTTTGCATGGCATTTTCTGTAGGTTGAGAATCTTTCTTTTATAGTACGTTTTTTTAGCAAGTGATATAGTCCACAGCTAATTTTAATATTGTGATAAGTCACAGTGCAGTTGTGTACAACCTATTGAAAAAATGCTCCACAAATGTGCATGCCGTGGGACACTAAAATTTTAACATTGATTGGTTGCAGAGCTTGGTTGTTGTCGTTGCAACTTTCTATATCTTATCCACATGCCACCTATATTGATTTGAATCCCACTAGTTACTGAGCAATGAGAATACGGTAGCATTGATAATAGGTTGCATTTGAGGTACAGTATGTCCGTAGAGCAAGGTCTGTGCCGGAATGAACCGTAGTCGTCTTTATGACGCGAGAGCAGAACGGCTCGAGTCATCGCGATGTGAAGGCGACAACAGTTCATAAGTTGGAGTTATCTTGTTCTACTTGTGTTAAGTAATACCAAACATATTGAAAATTTTGTAAGCTCACGGGCGAGGCAGTTGTAAATCTCGATGGTTTACAAGTGTAGAACGGCGTTCATTTTGTTGACTGGAGATGCCTTTTAAATAAATATAAAAGTATCCTATGGTTGAGCATAGGAGTAAACTAACCACAGCACAATATGGTGGCATATCTAGTACTTAGTCATAGATCTTCATGTCCTTTTATATTGTCATTTGTGTCTTAGTGGTTTGTAAGCAGCAGAGAAGAGGCCCACCCAATTATTTTCCTGTGTATCTTCTCTCAGTGTTGGTTCATCCCCAGGAGAGTGGAAGGGGACTTATTAATGGAGTCATGGAGCAGTCTAATGTACTTTTTTTTATACGTAGAAAAATTAACCGGTGTGACAACTTTGGGGGCAGTGCATCGTGATGGCCGGTCGATGCTACGCGGCTTCTCCCCGAAGACGGTAGAGGTTTCCGTTTTCTATATTTTGTATTATTCGTTGTCTAAAAATTGATGGCGTCACATCGGAAAATGTTAAGAGGAACCGAGGGAGTAGACCATTGGCTCTGGCCGGGCCGTCGTCGGTTGTTATGCATAATATAAGAGGTCCTCCCCCACTGGTGTCTGTAACCGTGCACTGCCCCTACACTCTCACACCACTGGACTGCTCCTTCTCTCCTGCCACAACTTTTTTCTCTTCATGCTCCCCTCTGGAATATTGTTTATCATCATACAGTATTGGCTCCTCTGCTCCTCGTTGTTACTGGTCTTGTGGGTGTACCGCCGTTGGCCCATTTATCTCGTAGCAGTCGATTGAACCGGACAGTAATTGCTGCAGGATACGTGATTTTTACTTTGTAATTCCCCCCAAAATACATTGACCGGTGATGCGACGTCTGTGTGAGATAATACGCTCATTCATTTGTACCTTTAGGATTAAAATATTAACATAGGGATCTGAATCAGAGAAGTAGTGGTTTTGATGCAGGGCTGAACACTGAGTTTATTATAAAGTCAACTCTGCCGGTAATATCTTTCTCTCTCTCTCTTGCTCTCCAGACACCTTAATAAGAGTATAAGTAGGTAGAGGGAAAAATAAGGCTAAATTGTATAAGTAATTTTTTCCTGGATTTCTCATAGGGGAGCATTCATTATAGTACAGTACATACGTATCATTTAATAAAGATGTAAACCATTAATGCTACTTTTATTATACCTGTGTGTGTAATGATACTAATTAATAGTTTGAGAGAAAATAACAAAGGCTGAAAATATACAATGACTGATACTGTACTGGGATGTGGCTCAAGCCTTCATTACAGAGGAGGAGGGAACTTGGGGTGAACATACAAGAGAGAGATTGGTGTTGTAGAGCCGATGATGCCGGGGCTACACGGGCTGAGTTCCACGATGGTGTGGCAGTCTGTCCTCTCACTGCTGGTTGGAGATGTAATGAAGGCCAGAGGGAGCTTATAGAGCCAGAGAACAGAGTGGCTCTTGATAGGTGGTTTATAACGAGTCCACGGATCAGTTGTCACGGTGTTTAGTTCACTAGGAGGGGGAAGGTGACCTGTGAGGGTGGGTCCACATTTCACCCATGGGCAAGAGATGCCATAAACACTGGACACTAAACACCACAAATGTTTACACTGTTCACAATTTGTTTAGCATTGTTTTTTTATATTGTCACTCATAATAATCATGAATTAATAATCAATCCTTTCACTGGTTTACTGGTGGAATGAAGAGGAATGAAGTTGGAAGGGGTCAACATGTTAAATTCCAGTGAGCTGGGATGGGTACATCTTTACTCTCTGGGAGTGTGTGTGTGTGTATATCAACTCTTATCATACTCACCTGTACTGTACACACAGGTATCCCTCACATCATGGAAACTCAGGTTGCAGAAATTTGCCCACATGGAATTTGTAAATTATGACCACAAAAGTTAAGGTACGACCTGTAAATTCAATTGCAATTTTCAACACAAAAATCACTATACTAAACAACAAATTACAGAAAAATTTTGTGTGGATTTCTTGGTGTTTGTGTCCGCCAGCGTACCCACACCAACTCAGTGTGTTATTTGCCAACGTGTACTCTTGAATTTTACCCTTAAGTTAGTATCTTATTTAAGACAGTTCAGTACATTGCCCTTATTGAAGATGAGTGGAAAGAGAACATCAAGTAGTGGTGCTAAAAGAGCCCATAAAGGAACTACTGTATGTTGGGTATAAGACTCGCCTCGTGCAGCCTCAACATCATCTGTGGTGAGTTAAATTAGTGTTTTTTGTACAGTATTATTTTATTTATTCGTCGCATTTACCGGTACACTGACCCAGCATCAGGGAAGGAAGATTGGGGAGTCATCTATGCAGTTACAGCTCGCTGCCTCCACACACAAATGTTCACTTCCCAAACATACACTTATGCTCTTCATTTTTCTTATTTTATAGTTTTATAATATATTAAATTATTTCTTAATTATATTAGAGTATTGTATTGATCATATTTATCTTTTTCTCAAATGATCACGGATTAGCGATAAGCTGGCGAGACATGGTGGGTGGATGGGTTCGCTCACACGAGAGTGAGATCCAAGCATCAGACGCATACTGTAGAAGAGAGGCCGTGTACTGTGGATACACATACTATGAGACTCTACTGTATTTAATATATTACTGTATCATAAAATAAACAATGGATGTATTTACAAATTTTAATTTAATTCATAAAAGTGTTAATTACTTTGCCTCAAAAAGTTTTCTTAGGAGCGCGACTCCAATTATATACAGTACCGGAAGTCACTGGGAAAATGGGGTTCACACTATGATCAACTCAAGGAGACATCCCTTCTGTAACCCAGGGGATAACTACAGTACTTGGACACACCTTAACACACATCCTTAGGTATATAAAAGCAAACATATCCAGTCATTTTTTTATTTTTTATGGGGAACAGCCCACCTGGGCACAGGTCTCCTATAAAAAAAATTTGATGTAGAAAAAGAGTACAGGGTATGTTAGTCTACACCACAAAGATGCCAGAAAACCAGCTTTTTGAAGTGAGACAGATTGTAAGAGTGGAAACACAGAAGTCAGTTTGGCTGTGTGAAGAAAGAAGGATGAACTATAACGGGTTATTCTAGTGTGACCGACATCCACACAGAAACTGTGGGCACTGCGGTCTAGACGAGTATTACGATCCCACGGCCTTGCCGGCGGTACACAGAATGCCAAATCCACTGAACATTGCCTGTTAAAGTACCTGTGAAAGGAGTTAATAAGACGAAATGCCTTTGATTCCACCCTATCTAACAGTTGGACAGAAGAAGAGCCACCCCAGATATGAGAGCCGTACTCCAAGTTAGGACAAATGAATCCTTTATACACTTGGAGCAACTGCTCAGGGGTGAAGTAGCTATGGCAACTGTACAGCATTCCCAGCTATCGGTAGGCAGCTTTAGCAATGTTGAGGATGTGTGGCTTCCATGACATGTTACAGGAAATGGTGAGGCCTAGCATATCTATTTTAGATTTTGGTAAAATGATTGCATCCTGAAATGTGACTGGTGGGAGTTCATCTAATTTTGGAAAATGTAATTGGTAAATAATGTGTTTTATTACTATTGAATTTGACCACATTTCTACCTCCCCATTCCGAGATGCAGCACAGATCTACATTGATAGAAGAAACAAAATCAGCTCTAGAAATAGATGAGTACTGTACTGTACCTACACTAACAAAAACTTACACATTAGCTTTGACATGTAAACTTACAAAATGTATACGCAAGAACTATACATGAAAAAAAAACAAGTGGCACTTGTATAATTCTACACACACACACACTCACACTCAAACACACGCTCACAAATGTACTTACAAATAACATGCCCACTTGTCCAGCACAATGGTATGTCTCATAAACAGTGGTCCCTTGGTTAACGAGTGCCTCGGTTAACGAGTTACCTTCCATAAGATTCTTAACTTCGGTTAACGAGCAATCCCTCGATTAACGAGGTTCTCACGAGCCGACCTCCACATGTTTTAGCTTGCATCTGGCGGTCCACCAGCTGTAGTATTAGTCCACCAATACAGTAATCGGTTCTAGGGCTTAAGTTCCTTACCCTATTAGTATCAAGAAGTTTATACTATTCAATAATTTTAAAAGTTTAATATTAAATTTTTTAGTCATTTTAACCATTGTAGCCATTGTAGACAATATAGACAGCACTTCTCTCCACTGCCTTCCACTTCCCTTACTGTAAACCTCCAAGAGGATAAGATAAGAGTGTGTCATGGCTGAGGGTTTTGGATAAAACAATATTTGTTGGAAATAAATCAAGGATTTGTGCAGCAACAGCTGATTGTTCTTTTAACCCTTAGGCCCCAGGTGACGTAACAGAACGTCCACCTATTTCCCCACTTTTTTTTTATTGTTTTTAGAAATGTTGATTTTTTTCTCGATTTATCCCGGGGGGGAGGGGGGGGGTTTCTGCCAGCAGCACCCTAACCCTGGGCTAAAGGGTTAATGATTCTGAAACGTTTGTCAAAAACAATTTAATAATTTTTGAGGTTATTAGACATAATTCAGCATCATATTCCTAAAATAACATTTTAACTGGTATACTGCAGCTGTGTGTGCCACTCTCCAGTACCTCTTGGGTTCGAGCCCGAAGTCAAGGATAGATAAAGAAAGATTTAGTTTTAGCCTCTTCACCACTAATCAGCTCGTTAGTCACTTGGGCGGTCGGTCACGTCTCTGTTACACACTGTTGGCAAGTACTGGGCATGTACTGGCTCTCTGTTACACACTGTTGACAAGTACTGGGCATGTACTGGCTCCTGAATGTACCTGAACCTGCTCCAGTGTTGGTCAAGTCTGGTCTTGAAACAGCTCACACTCGGTGCCGTCACAACACTCTCTGGCAGGTTGTTCCAACAGTTCACAATTCTCACTCCGAAAAAGTTTGCCCTCACAGTTTTCTGGACTTGTGGCTTCTTCAACCTTGAGCTGTGACCCCTTGTGGGGCGAGCGTCCGCCAGCTCCAGGTCAGGACACTCGACCGAGTAGTGCCCTTTGAGATGTTTATACACCTCAACTAGGTCCCTCCTTGCCCGTCTGTGGCATAAGCTGGGCAAGTTCAGGCGTTCCAATCTCTCAGGGTAGTTGAGGTGCCGTAGTGCAGGCACCAGTCTGGTGGCCCTCCTTTGAACATATTTAATCAACTGAAAGTCCCTAAAGCATAAACGTTTTTAACACAGATGTATATATTTTTATATATGACAGTATGACTAGGTTAAATAAATTCTAGATTATTATAAATAGTCTTGCATAATATGTCGGCCATTAAATCACACCTTTAGCCTTATTAATAGAGGGTAAAATGTGATAAAGGTAAAGACACTGCGTCACGCTCTGAAGCCAGAATATTAGTGAACAAACAAATGTACCTGAGGTAGAGGCAGCTACGCCCTCCAACATCCTATAATAACCCGGAGACGCCTGGGAGATTCTAGAACGTTCTACTCTGATCGAGACTTACAATAATAAGTAAATCACAACAAAAATGATGCAATACATTCTAGAATATTCTTACATAATTAATACACCAATATCATCAATATATACACGATAATTTCATTAAATTTACCGTAAAACAACTGCTGCATGGGACAGAAAACAATAAAAACACCAGAGGTGCAGTGCTGCCGGGGCTCACCTGAGCGTCGCTCCGGACCTCTGTTGGGATCAATCAATCAATATCGCCGACGCCTTGTTCCCTCCCAGGAACTCCCCAACAGAAGTGTCTCCAGGCCATTTTATCCTTGCACACCTCTCTTGCTCTCTCAAACACTCTTCCTCCCCTTCCTGCTCTCTCTTCAACAAACTCTCTAACTCTTTTCTCCCAGGTGGCAATCGGTCTACCCCTCCCAACATTCTCCTCTCTCTTGCTATCATAAACTTATTGTGTCAACCTGTCTTCATACACCCTCGGCACATGTCCACACCACCTTAGTGTATTCCTCTTCATCCACTCCACCACATCAATCAAACAATCAACTTTATTTTCCATTAATAATACGCATACAAAACCGAATATATCCTCATATAATTAACCTCTCCTTCAGATCAACTTACATTTTATGACTTATCAATTATTTAGAAAGACTTTGATAACAGGTGCACTTCTAAACACTTAAAAACAGTACTTTTTCAAAAGTAGTTATGTATTTCCTCTCATAAGAGCTATAGATATGACCAGTATCGAAAGGATAAGCACATTAGACTACTATATATATATATATATATATATATATATATATATATATATATATATATATATATATATATATATATATATATATATATATATATATATATAATATTATTTTTCGTAAATTTATCTGAATATTACACGTTGGAAAATAAGTCAAGTGATTTTAGTTTAGCCCAAAGTGTTGAACTGTTTGGGTTTAACAGTAGACAACCACATAATGGAACCTGGAGCTGCCAACCGCCTTGTGTGCTCACCTGTAACTAATGGTGTCTCAGGTGAGGTTATCAAAACGAGTGTTATCATGACATCCTGTGTAAGATAAGCCAGCAAGGCGAGGCAGTGATAAGATAACAGTGAGCCAACACATGTGTCTCAGACGGCCGGCGTCAGCAGCTGAAGGCCACAGTGAAGGTTCTACAGAAGGAGTTTTGTTCATGTAGAGTAAACCTTTACAGAGGAGCCTAGAGAGTGTAGCTGTGGTGTGAACATTGTACAGTTGTTCACATATTGTTTAAGGTTAGTAGTTACCGTGGTACAAAAGTCTTACTTCACCTCTACACAATACTGGGAGCAATATTTTTTATCTCGGTGTTGGGATGACACAAGTTACTTAGAGTTTACTGTAAGAACAAAGTGTCTCAGAACACGGTAGATGTTACTTAAGAGCTGTCAGCGATTTCACCAGCAAAAACATTTTTTACCTGCATGAGTTTTGCTGCTGTTTTATTGGAGATAATTTTATCTTGGGAAAAACTAAAAACTAATGTTTTCCTTATTTAACCTGACCTATCAACCTGACCTAACCCCTTAGCCTTCTACCCTCCCTGACTGGTTATATATTATTGTCAGTATTTAACTTATCCTTATTTAACCTAACAACATATTCCCCTATTGAGAAAACACCATTTTTTTCAGAGTTGTGTCATGTATTATATATCATGGTAATGTGATTCAGACGACTGTTGCCTCACTGACGGTGTTATGATATAAATTATATAAAAAACCACTTCCCCAAAAGAGATCTTTGTCACTAACAATTAACAACACAAATTATGGTGGAGAAGCAGTGTGTTCCTGTATTAATGTACATGTTAACTGAGAACATCACTGCCACCAGTTGGTCAGTGTGTTCCTGTATTAATGTACATGTTAACTGAGAACATCACTGCCACCAGTTGGTCAGTGTGTTCCTGTATTAATGTACATGTTAACTGAGAACATCACTGCCACCAGTTGGTCAGTGTGTTCCTGTATTAATGTACATGTTAACTGAGAACATCACTGCCACCAGTTGGTCAGTGTGTTCCTGTATTAATGTACATGTTAACTGAGAACATCACTGCCACCAGTTGGTCAGTGTGTTCCTGTATTAATGTACATGTTAACTGAGAACATCACTGCCACCAGTTGGTCAGTGTGTTCCTGTATTAATGTACATGTTAACTGAGAACATCACTGCCACCAGTTGGTCAGTGTGTTCCTGTATTAATGTACATGTTAACTGAGAACATCACTGCCACCAGTTGGTCAGTGTGTTCCTGTATTAATGTACATGTTAACTGAGAACATCACTGCCACCAGTTGGTCAGTGTGTTCCTGTATTAATGTACATGTTAACTGAGAACATCACTGCCACCAGTTGGTCAGTGTGTTCCTGTATTAATGTACATGTTAACTGAGAACATCACTGCCACCAGTTGGTCAGTGTGTTCCTGTATTAATGTACATGTTAACTGAGAACATCACTGCCACCAGTTGGTCAGTGTGTTCCTGTATTAATGTACATGTTAACTGAGAACATCACTGCAGGTTAAACCCTCAGTGAAAAACTGATCATATAAGTCCCATTGTAATTATTAATGAGATAACTGCCGCTGATTTTTCATAGAGAATGATTTTAAAAACACTAACAGTTTGTGTGTTGTAGCGGACACTGTTGTAGTTCAGGCAAATGTGTTAAAATTGGTTACTTATAAACTACTCAACCTAACTTTAATTGATAACAAATCATGTGACAGAAGCATTGTTAGGAGACCTCACCAACTTGACCAAAGAAACCTAACCTAACCTTACCTAACTTCCTAGCTGTGGGGCTCCTTCCCCCCCGGACCCCGGCATATTAAAGAGAAAGAATTTATTATGATATGGTGTAATTTTGCGTTTTTGGTGGACGTGAGAGCAGCCAGCCAGACTGAACAGCTCATAATCTTGACTGAGCGTAGGTGTTGATCAGTGCACATTACTGATATATCATTGTACCAAATGTATCAAACTAAAACACGAGATAAGTTTGGACCAATACGTTCAGATACCGGCGAGCTCACTGATAACGACAGAGAAATGAGCAATAATCTGAATAAATATTTTTCAACAGTTTTCACCACCGAAAATTTAAACATGATACCCGAGGCACCGACTCTATACAGAGATAGTGAAGAAAATAAATTAAGCGAGATAGTAGTGACTAGTAACGATGGTAGTAAGCAAATAGACAAACTAAAGCCTAATAAGTCACCTGGTCCCGATGAGATATTTGCCAGAGTATTAAAGGAATGTAAGGAAGAGCTTAGTATGCCCGTAGCAAAGTTGTTTAACATGTCATTAAAAACAGGTGTCGTACCAGAATCCTGGAGGATAGCGAATGTAATAACGATTTTCAAGAAGGGAGATAGATCACTATCCTCTAACTACCGCCCAATCAGTCTAACATCAATAGTAGGTAAATTACTAGAATCAATTATTTCAAACTATATTCGAAACCACCTGGAGAAGCACAAGTTGATCAATGATTCCCAGCATGGCTTCACAAGCGGGCGTTCATGTTTAACTAATCTATTAACATTCTTTTCATCAGTTTTCGAATTGGTGGACGAGGGGCACAATTATGATGTGGTATATCTCGACTTAAGCAAAGCCTTCGACAGAGTCCCCCACGAAAGACTAATTAGAAAGGTAGAAGCGCATGGCATCAAAGGTAACATCCTTAAATGGATTAGGGCGTGGTTACAGGACAGGAAACAGCGAGTGAGCATTAACGGCACTAAATCGCATTGGAGCAACGTCACTAGTGGAGTTCCCCAAGGCTCAGTACTTGGACCATTATTATTTATTATATACATAAACGACATAGATATCGGCATAGACAGCAACATAAGTAAATTTGCTGATGACATTAAAATAGGACGTGTAATTAAATCTGACGAGGACTCAGCAAAACTACAGGAAGATCTAAACAAATTTTTCGAATGGTCGGAAAAATGGCAGATGAAATTCAATGTGGACAAATGTAAAGTACTCAGTATAGGAGATGTAAACAGGGAAACCAGTTACCAGATGAACAACGATGCCATTGTGGAATCCGACTGCGAGAGAGATTTAGGAGTAATGATAAGTAGGAATCTTAATCCACGTAAACAATGTGTTTTTGCTCGTAACAAGGTTAATAAAGTACTTGGGTTCATACAAAGGAGTGTTAGTTACAAGACTAGCGAGGTCATCTTAAAATTATATCTTGCGCTTGTGAGACCACACCTGGATTACGCAGTTCAGTTCTGGTCACAGTATTACAGAATGGATATAGAATCATTGGAAAGAATTCAGAGGACAATGACAAGACTAATCCCGGGCATTAGGAACCATGAATACAGAGACAGGTTAAAGCATCTTAATTTGCACTCCCTCGAGAGACGTAGAGTGAGGGGCGACCTGATAGAGGTGTATAAATGGAAGTAAGGGCTAAACAAAGGGGACATTACAAAGGTACTCAAACTATCCAACCAGGAGCGAACTCGTAACAATGGTTTTAAATTAGACAAATTTAGATTTAGGCGTGAAATAGGTAAACACTGGTTTGGAAACAGAGTAGTGGATGAATGAAACAAGTTACCACATATCATCATTAACTCGAATACGCTGGATAGCTTGAAACATAGGTTGGATGCTTATATGAGCGTTAGTGGTTGTGTATAAACGGGACTGCCCAGTATGGGTCAATAGGCCCGCTGCAGTTTCCTCCATTCTTATGTTCTTACTGTACTGCTGTTAACGGGAGCCGAGGGGCCTACCGTAGTTATCTACCGAACGAAGCATTTGCCCAAGGAAGGAATACAGTATCATAGTACCAATGAAAATACTGTTATAGTAAGAGAAGAAACATCAAACCAAATAATGTGGTGCCAGGTATCTCGTCAAAATAAACCAAAGAAATTAAATATTTATTGTAAATATGCCTCCGAAAAATCTGCTGAATAACTGTATGCCGTCAGTTTGTTTACAACCAACACTGTCTCAGCATACTCTCACGTCCACAAAAAACATAAAATTACACCATGACGTTCCATCAAAGTTGCTTTCATTGGAACCAGATAATAAAAGCAAGTAATTTCTGTTTAATATAGCGAGGGTCTGTCCCCTGGCTAGGAAGTTAGGTAAGGTTAGGTAGGTTTTGGGATTTGGTATACTGTATAGTGAACATTATTGGACCCTATCTCGCGATATATCCCGACCCTATAGTATATCCTGGTGTATTAGGTTAATATTGGTCCATTGGCTGTGTGTAGGCTCCCACCATGTTTATCTCAGGTTAGTTGTCTCCTTGTCTCCTCCTTGTAGGTTAGGTTAGGTTAGGTTAGGTTAGGTTAGGTTAGGTTAGGTTAGGTTAGGTTAGGTTGGTTGGTTGGTTCCTTTGGTATTAGAATAGGTTTTCTTTTTGTGTATTTTGGTGTTTCATTTAAATTTGACCTTCATTTTTATACAAATTAGCAGTTTCTGTGAAAATTTAAATTGTAATTTTTTTGCAAAAACAGCAAATTTGCACAAGAAATGAAGGTGAAATTTAAGTAAAACACCAAAATACACAAAAAGAAAACCTATTCTAATACCAAAGTCTGAGAACAGCCAATGGACGAATAGTTACTATATACGTTTATACAATATATATACAGACAGTATTGGGTGGTAGAAATACACAACAGTTGGTAACATTTGCTTCTTACATGAAGTAATTTTTCACAGGATTTTGATTTAAAACAGTCAGTGTTGATGGTCGTGTTTGTGGCAACGGTGGAAGGCATCTAACCTAACCTAACCTAACCTAACCTAACCATTTTATATTACCATTATAGCTGGGATATAGTCACTACAGGTTGTACATTATAGCTGTTATGACCATTACAGGCTGTACATTATAGCTATTGTGCATTACAGGCTGTACATTATAGCTGTTATTATGACCGTACAGGCTGTGCATTATGGCTGTTATAACCATTACAGACTGTACATTAGCTGTTATGACAAATTACGACACTTACATTATGGCTGTTATGACCGTACAGGCTGTACATTATGGCTGTTATGACCTTACAGGCTGTACATTATAGCTGTTATGACCATTACAGGCTGTACATTATAGCTGTTATGACCATTACAGGCTACGTTATAAGCTGTTATAACCATTACAGGCTGTGCATTATAGCTGTTATGACCATTACAGGCTGTACATTATGAAACATTTATGGTATTTACAGGAAACATGCATTATAGCTGTTATGACCATTACAGGTTGTACATTATAGCTGTTATGACCATTACAGGCTGTACAGGATGTGGTGGAGCGTGGTGGTGGTGGTGTTGGTGATCTGTCCTGCTGTACGTGGTGATGTGACCGACTGTGATCAAAACACCTGTACTAATTGTATCCAGACACCTGCCTGTATATGGTGTAGCAAGGAGGTCAGTTGTACCATAGTGTTGTACCATAAGGTCAGTTGTACCATAGTGTTGTACCATAAGGTCAGTTGTACCATAGTGTTGTACCATAAGGTCAGTTGTACCATAGTGTTGTACCATAAGGTCAGTTGTACCATAGTGTTGTACCATGAGGTCAGTTGTACCATAGTGTTGTACCATAAGGTCAGTTGTACACAGTGTTGTACCATAAGGTCAGTTGCCATAGTGTTGTACCATAAGGTCAGTTGTACCATAGTGTTGTACCATGGTCAGTTGTACCATAGTGTTGTACCATAAGGTCAGTTGTACCATAGTGTTGTACCATAAGGTCAGTTGTACCATAGTGTTGTACCATAAGGTCAGTTGTACCATAGTGTTGTACCATAAGGTCAGTTGTACCATAAGGTCAGTTGTATTATAATATTTTTCCCATAGTCACTTGTACCATAGTGGTGTACCATAGTGTTGTACCATAATATTGTACCATAGTGTTGTACCATAAGGTCAGTTGTATTGTAATATTTTACCATAGTCACTTGTACCATAGTGGTGTACCATAGTGGTGTACCATAGTGTTGTACCATAATATTGTACCATAGTTTTGAACTGTAAAGTGAGTTGCGCTGGAAATTTGTTAAATCGGACCGATATCATGGCCATACTAAGGCCATTTTGAGGCCATGTTATATTAGGAGATATTCTGAGGTCAATAGTTATTACTTTTACTATACAAAAAACGCCTGAATAGTACATAATAATGTTTTTACTTTATTGCTATGTGAGTGTGTGTGTGTGTGTGTGTGTGTGTGTGTGTGTGTGTGTGTGTGTGTGTGTGTGTGTGTGTGTGTGTGTGTGTCCAAACAGTAGCACAGAAGCCTAAAACACCCTGTTATTGTGTGATTTACAGGAGCTAAACACCCTATTATTGTGTGATTTGCAGGAGCTAAAGAACCCAATTATTGTGTGATTTACAGGAGCTAAAGAACCCAATTATTGTGTGATTTACAGGAGCTAAAGAACCCAATTATTGTGTGATTTACAGGAGCTAAAGAACCCAATTATTGTGTGATTTACAGGAGCTAAAGAACCCAATTATTGTGTGATTTACAGGAGCTAAACACCCTATTATTGTGTGATTTGCAGGAGCTAAAGAACCCAATTATTGTGTGATTTACAGGAGCTAAAGAACCCAATTATTGTGTGATTTACAGGAGCCCAATTATTGTGTGATTTACAGGAGCTAAAGAACCCAATTATTGTGTGATTTACAGGAGCTAAAGAACCCAATTATTGTGTGATTTACAGGAGCTAAAGAACCCAATTATTGTGTGATTTACAGGAGCTAAAGAACCCATTTATTGTGTGATTTACAGGAGCCTTGAGTGTAATATGTCATGCTATTGACCGAACATAACAATATATACCATGACCTCACCGTTGTCACTGTATAATCCCTTGGACAGAACTTCACAAAACAGAGGTGTGTAAACAGAGCCACGGCAGATAGAGGCAACTTTTACGAGGAGTGTGAGGAACGATTTGTCCACGACCCGGTGCGTTACCAGAAAGTCCTGGAAGATAAGGAGTTTTCTAAGGAGACTACAGATGACCCAAGTGCCTCAATCATCCAGATCAAACCGCAAAAAGTGTTGCTTGAGATGAGAGTAGGTGAGTATGTGTTAGTGTTAAGTGATGTTGTTTGTGTTAATTTTTTCAGTAAAACTTAACAATGTATTGATCCAGTAAATTATTGTTGTGTATACAGTACGTTATGAAATTAGTTATTTTTTTTATGTCTGTGAATAAATAGAGATAAAGTGACTTTCATTGCAGTGTGTGTGTGTGTGTGTGTGTGTGTGGTGTGGTGTGGTGTGGTGTGGTGTGGTGTGGTGTGTGTGTGTGTGTGTGAATATTGATGGCACTATACTGGTAACTTTTCTCTACAGTTGATTAAAATATACTGTACATTCTGCTGACAGGAGATACGGGGACAATAAAGTTGAAATACAAACACTTGAGGAATTACCCAATCGACTTATACTACTTAATGGATGGTTCTGAGTCTATGAGAGATGACAAGGACAATGTAGCGAACTTGGCCAAGAAATTATTGAACCGAATGAGGAAAATTACCAAAAACTTCAGACTTGGCTTTGGGCAATTTGTCGACAAGCCAATTCTTCCTTATGTAAACACCTACCCATTCGAGTAAGTATCAAGAACAAGACTTATTTCTCCACAGTGGAAGTTATGATATAGATGACCGTAGTTCAGTATTTTAGGGAAGAACAGTATAGATTCATAAAACTACAAGAATGTATGGATCTTGTTATTGTATTATAGTTTATACAGTTTGTGAAATAGTTTTGGATAAGGAAGAGAATTTATTTGGGGGTATTTGTTGACTAAGAAAACTTGGTTAGAGTTGACAGATAAGTGATGAAGGAAGTGTTGAAAGTGTATGGTGTAAATGGCCTCTCCTCCCCTCCACACTCTTAACCTCTACTCCCCTCCACATTCTTAACCTCTACTCCCCTCCACATTCTTAACCTCTACTCCCCTCCACATTCTTAACCTCTACTCCCCTCCACATTCTTAACCTCTACTCCCCTCCACATTCTTAACCTCTACTCCCCTCCACATTCTTAACCTCTACTCCCCTCCACATTCAAACTCCTTCATGTTTTACCCCAGTTGGTTTCCTCCACATGTCCACCAAACCATCCCTACCTACTGCTCCTCTGTACAGTGTCACGTTACACTGCCTCACTGTGCTTTCTTCAGTCCAGTCATACTCTCTCTAACTCTTTATGTTTCACTACCATACAACATTATACTTCTGGTACCCCATTGTTGTGTATAATACGGTAGTCAACGGCGACCCGTGGTGTAATGGTCAGGATGCTCTATTCGCAAGTGAGTGGTCTCGGGTTCTATTCCCGGGCAGGGTGAGACTTTGGGCAAGTTTCTTAACACCATTTGCCTCTCTACCCAGCAGTAATTTGCGGATCGTGTTCCGGGGTAATGGTTAGCCAGTGCAATTGTCTAGTTGTCCGGTCTTCTCGGATTATTCCTCGACACTGGGTCATGCAGCTCGTTAACTCAGGGTGTGGTTGTTGTGTTGGCGACAGCTTCTACACCTTAAACACTGGGTCATGCAGCTCGTTAACTCAGGGTGTGGTTGTTGTGTTGGTGACAGCTTCTACACCTTAAACACTGGGTCATGCAGCTCGTTAACTCAGGGTGTGGTTGTTGTGTTGGTGACAGCTTCTACACCTTAAACAAATTCACTCCTAGGTGGCCCTTGGGTCGGCCATCAGGGGTAACCATTATATAGTCAACAGGTGTAAACTTGTGGTACTCAGGTATGATAGAGGTAGTGGTCAGGTGGTCAATAATACTGTACCTTGGTGGTCAGGTGGTCAATAATACTGTACCTTGGTGGTCAGGTGGTCAATAATACTGTACCTTGGTGGTCAGGTGGTCAATAATACTGTACCTTGGTGGTCAGGTGGTCAATAATACTGTACATTGGTGGTCAGGTGTGGTCAATAACACCGTACCTTGGTGGTCAGGTGGTCAATAATACTGTACCTTGGTGGTCAGTTGGTCAATAATACTGTACCTTGGTGGTCAGGTGGTCAATAATACTGGCACCTTGGTGGTCAGGTGGTCAATAATACTGTACCTTGGTGGTCAGGTGGTCAATACTGTACCTTGGTGGTCAGATTGGTCAATATGCTGTACCTTGGTGGTCAGGTGGTCAATAATACTGTACCTTGGTGGTCAGGTGGTCAATAATACTGTACCTTGGTGGTCAGGTGGTCAATAATACTGTACCTTGGTGGTCAGGTGGTCAATATGCACTGTACCTTGGTCAGGTGGTAAATAATACTGTACCTTGGTGGTCAGGTGGTCAATACTGTACCTTGGTGGTCAGATTGGTCAATAATACTGTACCTTGGTGGTCGAGTTGGTCAATAATACTGTACCTTGGTGGTGAGGTGGTCAATAATACTGTACCTTGGTGGTGGGGTGGTCAATAATACTGTGCCTTGGTGGTCAGTTGGTCAATACTGTACCTTGGTGGTCAGGTGGTCAATAATACTGTACCTTGGTGGTCAGGTGGTCAATGATACTGTGCCTGGTGGTCAGGTGGTCAATAATACTGTACCTTGGTGGTCAGGTGGTCAATAATACTGTACCTTGGTGGTGAGGGTGGTCAATAATACTGTACCTTGGTGGTGAGGTGGTCAATAATACTGTACCTTGGTGGTCAGGTGGTCAATAATACTGTACCTTGGTGTGGTCAGGTGGTCAATAATACTGTACCTTGGTAGTCAGGTGGTCAATAATACTGCTTGGTGGTCAGGTGGTCAATAATACTGCCTTGGTGGTCAGGTGGTCAATAATACTGTACCTTGGTGGTCAGGTGGTCAATAATACTGTACCTTGGTGGTCAGGTGGTCAATATGCTGTACCTTGGTGGTCAGGTGGTCAATAATACTGTACCTTGGTGGTCAGGTGGTCAATAATACTGTACCTTGGTGGTCAGTTGGTCAATAATACTGTACCTTGGTGGTCAGGTGGTCAATAATACTGTACCTTGGTGGTCAGGTGGTCAATAATACTGTACCTTGGTGGTCAGGTGGTCAATAATACTGTACCTTGGTGGTCAGGTTGGTCAATAATACTGTATGGTGGTCAGGTTGGTCCATAATACTGTACCTTGTTGGTCAGGTGGTCAATAATACTGTACCTTGGTGGTCAGGTGGTCAATAATACTGTACCTTGGTGGTCAGGTGGTCAATAATACTGTACCTTGGTGGTCAGGTGGTCAATAATACTGTACCTTGGTGGTCAGGTGGTCAATAATACTGTACCTTGGTGGTCAGGTTGGTCAATAATACTGTACCTTGGTGGTCATGTGGTCAATAATACTGTACCTTGGTGGTCAGGTGGTCAATAATACTGTACCTTGGTGGTCAGGTGGTCAATAATACTGTACCTTGTGGTGGTCAGGTGGTCAATAATACTGTACGGTGGTCAGGTGGTCAATAATACTGTACCTTGGTGTCAGGTGGTCAATAATACTGTATCTTGGGGTCAATAGTCAATAATACAACATCTTGGTGGTCAGGTGGTCAATAATACTGTACCTTGGTGGTCAGGTGGTCAATACTGTACCTTGGTGGTCGGTGGTCAATAATACTGTACCTTGGTGGTCAGGTGGTCAATAATACTGTACCTTGGTGGTCAGGTGGTCAATAATACTGTACCTTGGTGGTCTATCTATCAGACAAAACAATGTATGTTAGGGAAAGTAATATTTTTAAAAACACTTCTTTTTTCTTGTAGCGCTTTTATTTATGTAAACAATGTTATATTTTATAAGTTGTTAAGGACCATACCTAATATTTTCCACGGCATTATTTTACATTAATATGATCACTTCTCTGTTTCAGCTCTAATTATTATGAGAGCAAGAATCAGGTGCCTCCTTATAGCTACAAACATATCCTGTCGCTCACACATGATGGTAAAGAATTTGAGGTGAGTTTTTGTCTCGGCTTAAGTGTCTACCATTGCATAAACTGACTCATTGTGACGACTGACTGTACCAGGCATTGTGTTGTTGAAGTCTTGAACTGTGGCGTGTGTGGCCTATAGCTGGGATGTGTGGCCTATAGCTGGGATGTGTGGCCTATAGCTGGGATGTGTGGCCTATAGCTGGGATGTGTGGCCTATAGCTGGGATGTGTGGCCTATAGCTGGGATGTGTGGCCTATAGCTGGGATGTGGCCCTATGGCTGGGATGTGTGGCTATAGCTGGGATGTGTGGCCTATGGCTGGGATGTGTGGCCTATAGCTGGGATGTGGCCTGCCTAGCTGGGATGTGTGGCCTATGGCTGGGATGTGTGGCCTATGGCTGGGATGTGTGGCCTGGCTGGGATGTGTGGCCTATGGCTGGGATGGCTATAGCTGGGATGTGTGGCCTATAGCTGGGATGTGTGGCCTATACTATTTTGTTATAGGTCGCCTGTTAGGAGACATAGGCTACCACAGGAACACTTCAAACTGTACTTCTCTGTACTCGGCGAGAATCGGTAGTTCACCTCCAGGTTGATGACACACTCCTGGTTGTCTCAGTCCCTCCACTACAGGTCTAAGGTGGTTGGTGTGTCACCCTGGCAGCTCTAAGTCTCACACAAGAGTTCAGCAGACAGAGTGGGTCTCTTCTCTCACACACTGAAGGAGTTACAGACCTATTGTGTGTACATTGTATAAAGACAAGTAACATATCTAAGAATTAACAAATATTTCTCAACACTACAGTACTGGTTACAATCTGATCAGTGTTTGAGCTTTACAGTTCAATAATTATTTATATTGGTGGTATTTACTCAGACCACTGTCACATTTCTTGTGTTCAGCTTTTGAGTGAACAAGGGACATAGATGGACGGCTGTTAGGCTCCAGGGAGTTTGGTGGGTGACAGGTTCTGTCCTCTTGAGTAATGAGTCGGGTTTCAAATAAAAAAAATTACAATTATATCAGTACAGTCGTCACATTCTCTGATGGTTGTAACTCAAAGAAATATAACTAGGTTGTGAACGATGGTGTTGTAACTTCACTAGAGCAGGATCAGTGAAGTCTATCAGGCTTTTATAGCCCAGGACACATTATATCAAACGTACCTCTCAGTAGGGTGCTCGAAACACGTTTTATGGACTGTTGAGCGTACTGTAATAGATCATGTGACATAAAGTTAACTAACGCGTACGACTGTGATCAGGACAATGATTAATAACATGAGAAAACAGGCAAATATATACTGACGTGTGTGTGTGTGTGTGTGTGTGTGTGTGTGTGTGTGGTGTGGAGCTTGTCAGAGGCTCACAGTTTGGTCGTTTATTATAATGTGATACAAAAATAAATAATTCTATGATTAAAGACTTTTGAATCACAGTTTTCTTATATAATTTTTACGCTGTTATTTTTTTTTTTGGGGGGGGGGGAGGAGGAAGGTGGGTCAGTCATAAGTTTGACTCCTCCATCACCCTTCAGTCTCCTGCTGCCTCCCTTACATTATTGTACAGTTGTTATTTAATATTTTGTAGGTCAGATCACTTTATCTACATAGGGAACTACAGGTATATTTTAGGTGGACATGTACTCGGGGTGATCAATGAATTTCAGAATGAACACTATGACTTCTGTTGTCTCAGTAGGGTTGTCAAAATGATTCATCTCTGGTGTCATATTATTTCAGTGACTACGTTAGTGTAAGTAGATGTACGTTATAGGTAGAGATTCACTACAGGACAGATTCACTACAGGACAGATTCACTACAGGACAGATTCATAAGGACAGATTCACTTCAGGACAGATTCACTCCAGGACAGATTCACTACAGGACAGATTCACTACAGGACAGATTCACTGCAGGACAGATTCACTCCAGGACAGATTCACTTCAGGACAGATTCACTTCAGGACAGATTCCTCCAGGACAGATTCACTTCAGGACAGATTCACTTCAGGACAGATTCACTACAGGACAGATTCACTACAGGACAGATTCACTTCAAGACAGATTCACTCCAGGACAGATTCACTTCAGGACAGATTCACTCCAGGACAGATTCACTACAGGACAGATTCACAGCAGGACAGATTCACTTTAGGACAGATTCATCAGGACAGATTCACTACAGGATTCACTCCTGGACAGATTCACTCCTGCACAGATTCACAACAGGACAGATTCACTCCAGGACAGATTCACTCCTGGACAGATTCACTTCAGGACAAATTCACTACAGGACAGATTCACTACAGGACAGAATCACTCCTGGACAGATTCACTACAGGACAGATTCACTACAGGACAGATTCACTTCAGGACAGATTCACTACAGGACAGATTCACTACAGGACAGATTCACTACAGGACAGATTCACTCCTGGACAGATTCACTCAGGACAGATTCACTACAGGACGGATTCACTCCAGGACAGATTCACTACAGGACAGATTCACTACAGGACAGATTCATTCCTGGACAGATTCACTCCTGGACAGATTCACAACAGGACAGATTCACTCAGGACAGATTCACTCCTGGGCAGATTCACTACAGGACAGATTCACTACAGGACAGATTCAACAGGACAGATTCACTACAGGACAGATTCACTACAGGACAGATTCACTACAGGACAGATTCACTACAGGACAGATCACTTCAGGACAGATTCACTCCAGGACAGATTCACTTCAGGACAGATTCACTACAGGACAGATTCACTACAGGACAGATTCACTCCAGGACAGATTCACTTCAGGACAGATTCACTACAGGACAGATTCACTACGGGACAAATTCACTCCAGGACAGTTTCTCCTGGACAGATTCACAACAGGACAGATTCACTACAGGACGGATTCACTCCAGGACAGATTCACTACAGGACAGATTCACAACAGGACAGATTCACTACAGGACGGATTCACTCAGGACAGATTCACTGAGACAGATTCACTCCAGGACAGATTCACTACAGGACAGATTCACTACAGGACAGATTCACTTCAGGACAGATTCACTACAGGACAGATTAACTCCTGGACAGATTCACTCCAGAACAGATTCACTACAGAACAGATTAACTCCTGGACAGATTCACATCAGGACAGATTAACTCCTGGACAGATTAACTCCTGGACAGATTAACTCCAGGACAGATTCACTACTGGACAGATTAACTCCAGGACAGATTCACTACAGGACAGATTCACTCCAGGACAGATTCACTACAGAAGAGATTAACTCCTGGACAGATTCACTCCAGGACAGATTCACTACAGAACAGATTAACTCTGGACAGATTCACAACAGGACAGATTCACTCCAGGACAGATTAACTCCAGGACAGATTCACTCCAGGACAGCTTCATTCCAGGACAGATTAACTCCAGGATAGATTCACTCCTGGACAGATTAACTCCAGGATAGATTCACTCCTGGACAGATTAACTCCAGGATATATTCACTCCAGGACAGATTAACTCCAGGATATATTCATTCCAGGACAGATTAACTCCAGGATAGATTCACTCCTGGACAGATTCACCCAGGATAGATTCACTCCAGGACAGATTAACTCGCAGATTCACTCCTGGACAGATTGACTCCTGGACAGTACAGTATATCCAAAAATGCCATTGATTGATTTAACTTACTAAGACAATGTTCCGCTCCTACCCACCAGAAAGTTGTGCGTGAATTTAAGACCGCTTCCAACTTCGACTCCCCAGAGAGCAGTTTTGATGGGTTGATGCAGGTAATAGTATGTGAAGACAAGATTCACTGGAGGGATCAAAGTCTTCATCTCATTCTAGTTCTACAGATGGCTTCCACATAGCTGGTGATGGCAAGGTACAATACATATGTTCTTTATGGTGTTATTTTACACGACTACAAGGTGTAACTGGAGATATGATGTAATGCTAAATCATAACACTGAGATATCCCCCAATACCAAGATAATTCCCCATACTCTATTTTCCCTTACGTATTTTCCATTTTATTTACCTTTAGCACATATTAATCATTGTATCTATGACTCACTCAACAACATCTTAATCAAACTGTCATAATTTATATAATGATATTTATTAACTTGATGACTTATTTTTTACTTTCATTTACTGTATTTTGTTATTCTATTTCTTCTTTTGTCTTAAATTAAGTGACTTTAGATGTATATAAGGACTTAGGCTCTGATATAGAGTTTAAACACTGTTCTATCAGTACAATATGCACATAGGTAGTATGTGTTCTGACTTACATACTAATCCAACTTAAAAATGTCCTTTATTAGGGAACCAGTTTGTAACCCGGGGACCCCCTGTGTACAGTACAATGTACAATGAAAGTCAAAAGTCCTGTAGGTATACAAACAGTGGCAAACAGTAAAGCAATTTGACCAAGATATACCTGACCAAATCACCTGTTTGTTTAATTCTAGTAGGCCTCTAAAGTCAGTCAGTGAAAATAATCAATAACAATTTATCTAACAAAATAAATATTATCTCTGACTCACTGTTATTTTCACCAGCTGGCAGGCATCACACCCTAATGATAAACTTTGTCACCTGGACTCAGAATCTGGGCTCTACACCCATTCTACTATTCTTGATTATCCCTCTATTGGACAGGTGAGTACTGGAGCCAGGTAGGTACAGTAGCTAAAACAACTATATGTGCATACTTTGTGGGAAACAACATGAGACCATGGACGATAAATATTGGTATAAAGAGGGCCACTAGTCACGTAAGATTTGTGAGGCTGTCACTAGTCACGTAGATTTATGAGACCTGGACGATAAATATTGGTATATGAGGGCTGTCACTAGTCACCGTAAGATTTATGAGACCATGGACGATAAATATTGGTTATGAGGGCTGTCACTAGTCATAGATTTATGAGACCATGGACGATAAATATTGGTATATGAGGGCTGTCACACGTAAGATTTATGAGACCATGGGCGATAAAATATTATTGGTATATGAGCTGTCACTAGTCACGTAAAATTTATGAGACCATGGACGATAAATATTGGTATAAGAGGGCTGTCACTAGTCACACGTAAGATTTATGAGACCATGGACGATAAATATTGTATGAGGGCTGTCACTAGTCACGTAAAATTTATAGACCATGGACGATAAATATTGGTATAAGAGGGCTGTCACTAGTCACACGCAAGATTTATGAGACCATGGACGATAAATATTGGTATATGAGGGCTGTCACGTAAGATTTATGAGACCATGGGCGATAAATATTGGTATATGAGGGCTGTCACTAGTCACGTAAGATTTATGAACATGGACGATAAATATTGGTATATGAGGGCTGTCACTAGTCACATGAAGATTTAGAGACCATGGGCGATAAATATTGGTATATGAGGGCTGTCACTAGTCACACGTAAGATTTATGAGACCTGGACGATAAATATTGTATATGAGGGCTGTCACTAGTCACGTAAGATTTATGAGACCATGGGCGATAAATATTGATATATGAGGGCTGTCACTAGTCACGTAGATTTATGAGACCATGGACGATAAATATTATTATATGAAGCTTCACTAGTCACATACAGTTATGAGACCATGGACGATAAATATTGGTATATGAGGGCTGTCACGTAAGATTTGAGACCATGGGCGATAAATATTGGTATATGAGGGCTGTCACTAGTCACACGTAGATTTATGAGACCATGGACGATAAATATTGGTATAAGAGGGCTGTCACTAGTCACGTAAGATTTATGAGACCATGGACGATAAATATTGGTATATGAGGGCTGTCACAATAAGATTTATGAGACCATGTGCGATAAATATTGATATATGAGGGCTGTCACTAGTCACACATAGATTTATGAGACCATGGACGATAAATATTGGTATATGAGGGCTGTCACTAGTCACGTAAATTTTATGAGACCATGGACGATAAATATTGGTATAAGGGCTGTCACTAGTCACGTAAGATTTATGAGACCATGGACGATAAATATTGGTACATGAGGGCTGTCACTAGTCACGTAAGATTTAAGACCATGGGCGATAATTAGTATATGAGGGCTGTCACTAGTCACACGTAAGATTTATGAGACCATGGACGATAAATATTGGTATATGAGGGCTGTCACACGTAAGATTTATGAGACCATGTGCGATAAATATTGATATATGAGGGCTGTCACTAGTCACATAAGATTTATGAGAGACCATGGACGATAAATATTGGTATATGAGGGCTGTCACTAGTCACATAAAATTTATGAGACCATGGACGATAAATATTGGTATAAAGGGCTGTCACTAGTCACACGTAAGATTTATGAGACCATGGACGATAAATATTGGTACATGAGGGCTGTCACTAGTCACGTAAGATTTATGAGACCATGGGCGATAAATATTGATATGAGGGCTGTCACTAGTCACACGTAAGATTTCGGATCATATCGACCACCTGCACAGATAGTTGTGCCTTTAACGACTAAGTTTACCGTATGATGTAACCTATCAGTTAATAAAAGTCTAGTTTGCGAACGTGTTGAGGGGTGGTCTGTGATGTGTTAGCTTGGAGGGGTGGCCTGTGATGTGTTAGCTTGGAGGGTGGGCTGTGATGTGTTAGCTTGGAGGGTGGGCTGTGATGTGTTAGCTTGGAGGTGGTCTGTGATGTGTTGAGCGGAGGTGGGCTGTGATGTGTTAGCTTGGAGGGGTGGGCTGTGATGTGTTAGCTTGGAGGGTGGTCTGTGATGTGTGCTTGGAGGTGGGCTGTGATGTGTTAGCTTGGAGGTGGGCTGTGATGTGTTAGCTTGGAGGGTGGGCTGTGATGTGTGTTGGCTAGGGGTGGGCTGTGATGTGTTAGCTTGGAGGGTGGGTGTGATGTGTTAGCTTGGAGGGTGGGCGGCTGTGATGTGGTAGCTTGGGAGGGTGGGCTGTGATGTGTTAGCTTGGAGGGGTGGGCTGTGATGTGTTGGCTTGGAGGGGTGGGCTGTGATGTTAGCTTGGAGGGTGGTCTGTGATGTGTTAGCTTGGAGGGTGGTCTGTGATGTGTTAGCTTGGAGGGTGGTCTGTGATGTGTTAGCTTGGAGGGGTGGTCTGTGATGTGTTAGCTTGGAGGTGGGCTGTGATGTGTTAGCTTGGAGGGTGGTCTGTGATGTGTTGGCTTGGAGGTGGTCTTGATGTGTTGCTTGGAGGGTGGTCTGTGATGTGTTAGCTTGGAGGTGGGCTGTGATGTGTTAGCTTGGAGGGTGGTCTGTGATGTGTTAGCTTGGAGGGTGGTCTGTGATGTGTTAGCTGGAGGTGTGTGATGTGGCAGAGGTGGTCTGTATTGGAGGGTGGATGTGTTAGCTTGGAGGGTGGTCTGTGATGTGGCTTGGAGGGTGTGGTCTGTGATGTGTTGGCTGGAGGGGTGGGCTGTGATGTGTTTAGCTGGAGGTGGGCTGTGATGTGTTAGCTGAGGTGGGCTGTGAGTGTGGCTGGAGGTGGGCTGTGATGTGTGCTTGGAGGGTGGGCTGTGATGTGCTTGGAGGTGGGCTGTGATGTGTTAGCTTGGAGGGTGGGCTGTGATGTGTTGGAGGGTGGGCTGTGATGTGTTGGAGGGTGGGCTGTGATGTGTTGGAGGGTGGTCGAGTGTGTTAGCTTGAGGTGGTGTGAGCTTGGAGGTGTGTGATGTGTGTGCTGGAGGGTGGTCTGTGATGTGGCTTGGAGGGTGGGCTGTGATGTGTTAGCTTGGAGGTGGTCTGTGATGTGTTAGCTTGGAGGGTGGTCTGTGATGTGTTTAGCTTGGAGGTGGTCTGTGATGTGTTGCTTGGAGGTGGTCTGTGATGTGTTGGCTGAGGTGGTCTGTGATGTGTTAGCAGAGGTGGGCTGTGATGTATTGGCAGATTGGTCTGTGATGTGTTAGCTGAGGGTGGTCTGTGATGTGTTGTGGAGGTGGTCTGTGATGTGTTAGCAGGTGGTCTGTGATGTGTTAGCTTGGAGGGTGTTGCTGAGGCTGTGATGTGTGGCTGAGGGTGGTCTGTGATGTTGTTGGCGGAGGGTGGGCTGTGATGTGTTAGCTTGGAGGGTGGGCTGTGATGTGTTAGCTTGGAGGGGGTGGGCTGTGATGTGTTAGCTTGGAGGGTGGGCTGTGATGTGTTGGCAGGTGGGATGTGTGTGTTAGCTTGGAGGGTGGGCTGTGATGTGGAGGGTGGGCTGTGATGTGTGTTAGCAGGAGGTGATGTGTTGGAGGTTGGGCTGTGATGTGTGGCAGGTGGGCTGTGATGTGTGGCTGGAGGGTGGGCTGTGATGTGTTGGCTTGGAGGCTGTGATGTGTTGCTTGGAGGGGTGGGCTGTTGATGTGTTAGCTTGGAGGTGGGCTGTGATGTGTTGGCTTGGAGGTGGGCTGTGATGTGTTAGCTGAGGGTGGGCTGTGATGTGTGTGTGGAGGTGGGCTTTGATGTGGCAGAGGTGGGCTGTGATGTGTTAGCAGAGGTGGGCTGTGATGTGTTAGCTTGGAGGGTGGGCTGTGATGTGTTAGCTTGGAGGGGTGGTCTGTGATGTGTTAGCTTGGAGGGTGGGCTGTGATGTGTTAGCTTGGAGGTGGGCTGTGATGTGTTGCTGGAGGTTGGTCTGTGATGTGTTAGCGGAGGGTGGGCTGTGATGTGTTAGCTTGGAGGGTGTCTGTGATGTGTTGAGCTTGGAGGGTGGGCTGTGATGTGTTAGCTTGGAGGGTGGTCTGTGAGATGGGTGTGAGTACATTATGTATTCCTTGATATTTAGTCACACAGGTTGAGGAATAAAGACGCAGGTGTTGTGTTGTAACTTGTAAACCTCACCTTCTTTCTCACTCTGGTTGTGTTTTTAGGATGGCGTAGTGGGGATTATGAAGGGTGACTAATGTAATGGATGAAATGGAGTTTGTCTCACGCCTTCATTAGTATTGTCGATTTTTTGTTAAATATTTAAAGACAATTACAATTATTGGTAAATCATGATGTAAAAGATTTATTTGTAATTATTTATTGTAATATTTGTTATAGATCAGGGAGATGGCTGACAAGCACAAAATGCATATCTTGTTTGCCGTCACTAAGAACCAGGAACCATTGTACAGGTACTTGAGAAACCTCATCTACAGGACGTCCGTAAGCGTACTGGAAGCTGACTCGGCCAACATTATTCAGATTCTGGATACAAATGTTAGAGTAAGTATGATGGTGACTCAGAATTACAGTGAGTGTGATAACAGTGAGTGTGGTGTGGGGACCTAGTTCACCTTCAGGCACAGTGGTTATCTTATCCTAACCTCTCTACCCTGGCAGGAACTCGTCAGCAAGGTAACTCTGAAATCTACGGTGTCCGATGCACAAGATGTGACGGTTCAGATCGAATCTGCGTGTCTTGATGGTAAGATGGAAAAGCGTTCCACCTGCAATCTCACAGCTGGAGACGAGTTGGAATTCTTAGTTACTGTCCGAGTAAGTTAACCATTTAGTCCTACCTGAAGTAAGTTCTTGATGCACTATAAAGATAAATGTTATGTGTAAATAAGTTGTTATTTAACTATTGTAGCAAATTAAAGTTATCCTCATTGTCATTTGTCAGTTTTTGCAGGTCAGGCAGGCAGGTGGGCAGGCAGGCAGGCAGGCAGGCAGGCAGGCGAGTTCTCTGTTACACCGTTGATCGCGTGACCTGGCCTGAACAAAACGGCACTGTTGGTCATGTCTGTGATATATGAACACTTGGTATATTTGGGCCCTAACCATCCTGTCTTATCGGTACGCTATGGTAAGTCGTCTTCTGTTTTCACGATTATAAAAACATAGCAATATTTTCCCTTATACAGGACTGACCAAACAGTGTCATAATAATCAATACAAGTACGATATTAATACACTATTAATATGTGTCTACAGTGTCCCAGTACAGTAATACACTATTAATATGTGTCTACAGTGTCCCAGTACAATTAATACACTATTAATATGTGTCTACAGTGTCCCAGTACAGTAATACACTATTAATATGTGTCTACAGTGTCCCAGTACAATATTACACTATTGATATGTGTCTAGGTTAAACAGTGTCCCAGTACAATATTACTATTAATATGTGTCTACAGTGTCCCAGTACAGTAATACATATATGTATGTGTCCTAGGTTAAACAGTGTCCCAGTACAATGTACTATTTATATGTGTCCCAGTGTGTACATTAATACACTATTAATATGTGTCCACAGTGTCCAGTACAGTAATACACTATTAATATGTGTACAGTGTCCCAGTACAGTAATACACTATTTGTTGTCCACAGTGTCCCAGTTACAATAATACACTATTAATATGTGTCTACAGTGTCCCAGTACAGTAATACACTATTAATATGTGTCCAGGTTAAACAGTGTCCGTACAGTATACACTATTAATATGTGTCCTAGGTTAAACAGTGTCCCAGGCACAGTAATACACTATTAATATGTGTCTACAGTGTCCCAGTACAATACACTATTGATATGTGTCCTAGGTTAAACAGTGTCCCAGTACAATATTACACTATTAATATGTGTCTACAGTGTCCCAGTACAATATTACACTATTAATATGTGTCACAGGTTAAACAGTGTCCCAGTACAATAATACACTATTAATATGTGTCTACAGTGTCCCCATGCAATACACTATTATGTGTCCAAGGTTAAACAGTGTCCCAGTACAATGCACTATTTATGTGTCTACAGTGTCCCAGTACAGTAATACACTATTAATATGTGTCTGCAATCCCAGTACAGTAATACACTATTAATATGTCTACAGTGTCCCAGTACAGTAATACACTATTAATATGTGTCTACAGTGTCCCAGTACAGTATACACTATGTGTGTCTACAGTGTCCCAGTGCAGTGTGCAGTGTGTGTTAGTAGTGTACAGTATCTGATGTGTGTGTCTGCAGTGTCCCCGGTACAGTATGCACTATTGTGTGTGTCTGGTCAGTCCCAGTGCAGTGCTGTGTGTGTGTCTGCAGTGTCCCAGTACAGTATGCTGTGTGTGTGTCTACAGTGTCAGTGCAATTATGCACATTAATGTGTGTCTGCAGTACAGTACAGTAATACATTGTTTATGTGTCTGCAGTGTCCCAGTACAGTATACACTATTAATATGTGTCTACAGTGTCCCATATAATACACTATTAATGTGTGCAAGGTTAAACAGTGTCCAATACAGTAATACATTAATGTATGTCTCTGTGTCCCAGTACTAATACACTATTAATATGTGTCTACAGTGTCCCAGTACAGTAATACACTATTAATATGTATCCACAGGTCATGCAGTGTCCCAGTGCAGTAATACACTATTAATATGTCCACAGGTTAAACAGTGTCCCAGTACAGTAATACACTATTAATATGTGTCCACAGGTTAAACATTGTCCCAGTACTTCACTTTTGTGACAGTGTCCCAGTACAGTAATACACTATTATTATGTGTCCAGGTTAAACGGTGTCCCAGTACAGTAATACACTATTAATATGTGTCCGGGTTAAACAGTGATGCAGTGCATTGTGCACTGTTAATATGTGTCTGATGTCCAGTACAGTAATACTATTAATATGTGTCTAGGTTGAACAGTGTCCCAGTACAGTAATACACTATTAATATGTGTCCACAGTGTCCCAGTACAGTAATACACTATTAATATGTGTCCACAGGTTAAACAGTGTCCCAGTACAGTAATACACTATTAATATGTGTCTACAGTCTCAGTACAGTAATACACTATTAATATGTGTCTGGTTTAAACAGTGTCCCAGTACAGTAATATACTATTAATATGTACAGGTTCAACAGTGTCCGTACAGTAATACACTATTAATATGTGCCCTAGGTTAACAGTGTCCCAGTACAGTAATACACTATTAATATGTGTCTACAGTGTCTCAGTACAGTAATACACTATTAATATGTGTCCACAGGTTAAAGTGTTCCAGTACAGTGACCACTATTTATGTGTCTCAGGTTAAACAGTGTTCCCAGTACAGTAATACACTATTAATATGTGTCCAGGTTAAACAATTGTCCCAGTACAGTAATACACTATTAATATGTGTCTACAGGTTAAACAGTGTCCCAGTACAGTAATACACTATTAATATGTGTCTACAGGTTAAAGTGTTAGTACATAACACTATATATGTGTACAGTGTCCTGCAATATACTTTATGTGCTACAGTGTTCAAGTATAACTATTATATGCTACAGTGTCCAGTACAGTAATACTATTAATATGTGTCTAGTGTCCAGGACAGTAATACTATTACTATGTGTACAGTGTGCAAGTAGTACACTGTGTGTCTACAGTGTCCCAGTACAGTAATACACTGTATATGTGTCCACAGGTTAAACAGTGTCCCAGTACAGTAATACACTATTGTGTGTCAGGTTAAACGGTGCAGTACAGTAATACACTATTAATATGTGTCTGGTTAAACAGTGTCCCAGTACAGTAATACACTATTAATATGTGTCCACAGGTTAAACAGTTATTAATTACAATATACACTATTAATATGTGTCCACAGGTTAAACGGTGTCCCAGTACAGTAATACACTATTAATATGTGTCCACAGGTTAAACAGTGTCCCAGTACAGTAATCCTATTAATATATGTGTCCACAGGTTAAACAGTGTCCCAGTACAGTAATACACTATTAATATGTCTACAGTGTCTCAGTACAGTAATACACTATTAATATGTGTCCACAGGACGGTGTCCCAGTACAGTAATACACTATTAATATGTGTCCACGGTTGGATGTCCCAGTACAGTAATACACTATTAATATGTGTCCACAGTGTCCCAGTACAGTAATACACTATTAATATGTGCCACAGGTTAAACGGTGTCCCAGTACAGTAATACACTATTAATATGTGTCCACAGGTTAAACGGTGTCCCAGTACAGTACACACTATTAATATGTGCCCACAGGTTAAACGGTGTCCCAGCAGTAATACACTATTAATATGTGTCCACAGTGTCCCAGTACAGTAATACACTTATTAATATGTGTCCACAGGTTAAACGGTGTCCCAGTACAGTAATACACTATTAATATGTGTCCACAGGTTAAACGGTGTCCCAGTACAGTAATACACTATTAATATGTGTCCACAGTGTCCCAGCAGACAGTAATACACTATTAATATGTGCCCACAGGTTAAACGGTGTCCCAGTACAGTAATACACTATTAATATGTGTCCACAGGTTAAACGGTGTCCCGTGCACAGTAATACACTATTAATATGTGTCCACAGGTTAAACGGTGTCCCAGTACAGTAATACACTATTAATATGTGCCCACAGGTTAAACGGTGTCCCAGTACAGTACACACTAAATATGTCCACAGGTTAAACGGTGTCCTGTACAGTACACTATTAATATGTGTCCACAGGTTAAACGGTGTCCCAGTACAGTAATACACTAAATTATGTCCACAGGTTAAACAGTGTCCCAGTACAGTAATACACTATTAATATGTGTCCACAGGTTAAACAGTGTCCCAGTACAGTAATACACTATTAATATGTGTCCACAGGTTAAACGGTGTCCCAGTACAGTAATACACTATTAATATGTGTCCACAGGTTAAACGGTGTCCCAGTACAGTAATACACTATTAATATGTGTCCACAGGTTAAACGGTGTCCCAGTACTGGCAACAATTTCAACACGAACGTCACGGTGTATGTTGATGGCCGGATGCAGTCTCTCTTTATTAACCTCACCATGTTGTGCCAGTGTAATTGTGAGGCTCCCGGCGACCCGGTGAGTGATGTGTGAGGCTCCCTAGTGACCAGGTGAGTGATGTGAGGCTCCCTAGTGACCAGGTGAGTGATGTGAGGCTCCCTAGTGACCAGGTGAGTGATGTGAGGCTCCCCTAGTGACCAGGTGAGTGATGTGAGGCTCCCTAGTGACCAGGAGTGATGTGAGGCTCCTGGCGACCAGGTGAGTGATGAGGCCCCCTAGTGACCAGGTGAGTGATGTGAGGCTCCTAGTGACCAGGTGAGGATGTGTGAGGCCCTCAGTGACCAGGTGAGTGATGGAGGCCCCTAGTGACCAGAGTGATGAGGCTCCCTAGTGACCAGGTGAGGATGTGTGAGGCCCCTAGTGACCAGGTGAGTGATGTGAGGCTCCCTAGTGACCAGGTGAGTGATGTGTGAGGCTCCCTAGTGACCAGGTGAGTGATGTGAGGCTCCCTAGTGACCAGGTGAGTGATGTGAGGCTCCCTAGTGACCAGGTGAGTGCTGTGAGGCTCCCTAGTGACCATAACTGCTGTTGTAGGGAAATAAAATCACATCACTTAAAGACCAGACACTATTTCATTTCCCTAACCTAACCTAACCTAACCTAACCTAACCTAACCTAACCTAACCTAACCTAACCCAACCTAACCTAACCTCATGGGCCACTGTCCAGACATGTGCCATCATAATGAATATCAATCAATTTAAATCATTTTACTGTTCATTGTTGTTTTAATTTATTAACTTGGTGCATTACTTGGTTAACAATACAGGGATTAGTTGTTGTTGTGCTGGTAAATTATGGGCCTTTGTAAGTCTGGCCCTGGTGCACACATACATACTGTACACACAAAACAATCTCTTCCACACATACACACGCAACAATCTCTTCTACACACACACACACACAACAATCTCTTCTACACACACACAACAATCTCTTCTACACACACACACACACACAACAATCTCTTCTACACACACACAACAATCTCTTCTACATACACACACACACACACAACAATCTCTTCGCTCTTTTGGTTTACCTTCTAACAAATGATCATTAACATCATAATATTTGTAAAGTTGATAAATGACTTTATGTTTCAGGGGTATATAGCCAATCCTGCCAAGTGTAACAGGCATGGCGACGACCAGTGTGGGGTGTGTAGGTGTTATGAAGGCTACGTCGGTGAATTCTGCGAGTGTGAGCTTTCAGACGGGGAGAGTGTTACCATTAATGAAACGAGATGTTACCAGACTAGCACCTCACCAAAGTGTAGCGGTCGAGGCGAGTGTATCTGTGGCCAGTGTGTGTGTAACAAGAACACAGATAATTCTAAGGTAAGACTGTTGGCATCGTCGTTAAGGGGGTAGTTTATGGTCTTTGGCCAGTGTGTGTGTGTAACAAGAACACAGATAATTCTAAGGTAAGACTGTTGGCATCGTCGTTAAGGGGGTAGTTTATGGTCTTTGGCCAGTGTGTGTGTGTAACAAGAACACAGATAATTCTAAGGTAAGACTGTTGGCATTGTCGTTAAGGGGGTAGTTTATGGTATGGTGGGTAAAGGCTCAAGATATAAGGCACACTTTGAGTTTCCTTTGAGTCATTAACACACATCTCAACTCTTCAGTTTCGTTGACTAAGAGACGTTCTCGGCCTTTACTAAGGAATATTCTTGAGGCTTCACTTGTTATTATATTACATTAAATATTCTTAAGTTTCTATTAACTGACACAAAATATCATGGATTATTTGACTGAATTTAATCTTCTGTACTGCTTGTTAGTTTTCTTGTAAGTGAGGTAGTTGTCTGTTACACACTGTTGACAAGTACTGGCTCTCTGTTACACACTGTTGACAAGTACTGGCTCTCTGTTACACACTGTTGACAAGTACTGGCTCTCTGTTACACACTGTTGACAAGTACTGGCTCTCTGTTACACACTGTTGACAAGTACTGGCTCTCTGTTACACACTGTTGACAAGTACTGGCTCTCTGTTACACACTGTTGACAAGTACTGGCTCTCTGTTACACACTGTTGACAAGTACTGGCTCTCTGTTACACACTGTTGACAAGTACTGGCTCTCTGTTACACACTGTTGACAAGTACTGGCCTCTGTTACAATTGAGTACTGGCTCTGTTACACACTGTTGACAAGTACTGGCCTCTGTTACACACTGTTGACAAGTACTGGCTCTCTGTTACACACTGTTGACAAGTACTGGCCTGTTACACACTGTTGACAAGTACTGGCTCTGTTACACACTGTTGACAAGTACTGGTTCTGTTACACATGTTGACAAGTACTGGCTCTCGTTACACACTGTTGACAAGTACTGGCTTCTTGTTACACACTGTTGACAAGTACTGGTTTCATACACTGTTGACAAGTACTGATTCTCTGTTACACTGTTGACAAGTACTGGCTCTCTGTTACACTGTTGACAAGTACTGGCTCGTTACACACTGTTGACAAGTACTGGCTCTCTGTTACACACTGTTGACAAGTACTGGGCTCTCTCTGTTACACCCGTTGACAAGTACTGGCTCTTGTTACACTATTGTTGACAAGTACTGGCTCTCTGTTACACACTGTTGACAAGTACTGGCTCTGTTGATTACCACTGTTGACAAGTACTGGCTCTCTGTTCACACTGTTGACAAGTACTGGCTCTCTGTTACACACTGTTGACAAGTACTGGCTCTCTGTTAACACTGTTGACAAGTACTGGTTCTGTACACACTGTTGACAAGTACTGGCTCTGTTACACACTGTTGACAAGTACTGGCTCTCTGTTAACACTGTTGACAAGTACTGGCTCTCTTTACACACTGTTGACAAGTACTGATTCTGTTACACTGCTGACAAGTACTGGCTCTCTGTTACACACTGTTGACAAGTACTGGCTCTCTGTTACACACTGTTGACAAGTACTGGCTTTCTGTTACACACTTGTTGACAAGTACTGGCTCTCTGTTACACACTGTTGACAAGTACTGGCTCTCTCTGTTACACACTGTTGACAAGTACTGGCTCTCTGTTACACACTGTTGACAAGTACTGGCCTCTGTTACACACTGTTGACAAGTACTGGCTCTCGTTACGCACTGTTGACAAGTACTGGCCTCTGTTACACACTGTTGACAAGTACTGGCTCTGTTACACACTGTTGACAAGTACTGGTTTCTTGTTACACACTGTTGACAAGTACTGGCTCTCTGTTACACACTGTGTCATAAATAAATTGTAATAAGTTTTATAAATATTGGTTATTCAGAGAAAATATCACCATAATAATAGAGTGATAAATAATTCAACTTTAGCTAATAATTATATGGATTTTCTACAACTTATGGACGCCCACAAAATGTATCTGCAAAACTTAAAAGAATAATAATAATGTAAATAAGATATAAAAAATCTTAACAAATAATTAAAATAAAATAAATGTCTCGTTTACAGATAATCTTGGGGACACATTGCCAGTGTACCAATTACGAAGGCTGCCAAGGCCAATAGCCCATGTGCTCTGACCACGGGGAATGTAATGTGATAAGTGTAACTGTGTTGAAGGCTGGACTGGTGAATTCTGACTGTGAGAATGCCACTCACAACTGTAGACAGACTGGTAAGTATTTATGACTTTATCAATCACTGACTGCTAACTGGAGACAAGCTTGTTAATGAGTATAACTTGTTGCAGGAGTAAATTATTCTCAAAGTTTCTTCAAAAGGAGTAGCTTGGTTTATAAGTCACCTTCCAGTTGATGTCGCTATAGTTAAAGTTCCTCATGACAAAGTGGTCGTTAGGGTTGCTTCAGTTGAGGCTCTAAGTTAATGAGTTACATTTAAGGGATCTGTAAATACATCCAACAATGATTAAGTCTCCCCTTCAGTTTCCTTTTACACCATATTTGATTCTTGAAAAACATCCTCTGCTTGTACCATCACCTAGCTGGCTCTAAGGTCTTGCTTACCATATATTAACCACACGCCCATCTTCCAAGTTGCTCGAGAAAGGTTCGTAAATGAGTCGTATCTTCTATATTGTACTCCGTCCTCCAGGTCGATTCTCCTGTTCTTGTACAACAGTTTTACAACACTACTGGAACAGGTTGATGGGTCTGAATGAAGTCTCAAACTCTGCTTTATTATTAAGTGTTAGTTTTAGTGTTCGAACTGGAAGTAGTCGTCAGTTGTGGCTCTGAACTTGGTGCTGTAGTGGCTCTGAACTTGGTGCTGTAGTGGCTCTGATCTTCTATCCTCAGCAGCTGTGTCGTTTACCGTTTACCGTTTACCGTTTGTGGTGGTAGATGACATTGTTTACACGGTCTGTTGCTCCTCCTGGGTGAGGGGTGAGGGTCTCACTGTCCTCTGGTTCACTACTGGTGCACTTGACTCCACCACTTCTGTATATAACCCATCTCACCCGTCATTGTTCAAACTCATCAGTTCTTTGTGCTGTTCCCTCCACAGTACCATGTGATCTGGACTTCCATGTTATGTGGTCCTTGCAGCCTTATTTATCGGGTTCTTAATTCTAATACAACCTAAAAATGGTAAATCAGGAGTCAGGAAATATTGTTTATATAAATATTTATGGTTATGTAAATTAGTGTTTATTGTTTTAATGCTGTACTGTAATAATTATAATTGTTTACTACATTTATTGATATCATTTGTCAATAATCTATAGGTCACATTTTATTTGTTTTTATTTTTTATTTCAGAAAACCAAGAAATCTGTTCAAGCCACGGCAGGTGTAGGTGCAACAGGTGTGTGTGTGACGCTACCTACCTCGGCAAGTTTTGTGAGGACTGTACGGTGAGCGTGTCTCTGTCTACAACATCAAGGTTATATAAATCACATAAATTATTATCTGTACAGTGTAAATAATTCTTCTTTGTAAGCTTGTTCATGTTTGTCCTTCTGACATTTAACATCAGATATAACTTGTTCTTACATGTTAGATAGAGTAATGGTGTCAAGTAAGTATTGCTGTGTTGTTGACAGAACTGTTTATGGCCACTTCGATGTGGCCGTCTGTTTCAGTCTCTTGAAGTACAAGGGAGGACCCAGTGATGTACTCTAAGCCTTAATTAAAAAAACTAATAAAAAAAAAAAAAAAATATATATATATATATATATATATATATATATATATATATATATATATATATATATATATATATATATATATATATATATATATATATAACTTGTGGATCTCATAATGTGCAGGCAAGTGTGTGGAATACAAGTCAAGTGTCAGGTGTTCCGAGACGGAGAACTCTCACCGGAAGAATGCCTGACCAACTGTACAGATTTTAACTCAACTAGTGATATCCATTGAAGGTTTGTTTGTTTGTTTGTGGCATTTTATATATTAGGTAAGGGATGAAAAGTGAAGAACAATATTGGAATAATCAAAAGTATTTCGAGTTAATGAGATTTTGTTGAAAGTCGCAGAGTTTTATAAAAGATTTAAACTTGTGGGTAACAGAGAGGTATCATGCTTGCTCCACTACAGCTTCCTGGGTTCAAGTCCCCAGGTGAGATGTGAGGAGAGTGTTACTAATTGAAAGAAGAAAAAGACAACTTGTTCACCTTTTACCACACAATCTTATACTCCCAGAACATCCTAGTAACTCGCTCCAAAAACTACCTTTATGATTTTATATTAGACGATATGACACCCGATGAAGGGTTTTGACGACCACTGAGATAACGGGAGTCGCGGGATTCATTCTGAAATTCATCGGATCCTTCCCTAAAGATACTTTTGTAGCGAGTGTTAATACAGACATATCCTGTACTCACTGTATATCTATGTTTTCATTACAGATGTTGAAGGACAGTTATGTGCCTTCGCTCAAGATGATAACTGTAGATTTTTCTTCCGGTTTGCTCTCAACAGCGCTGGACTGCTGGGGGTCTGGGTACAAGAGGAACTCGAGTGTACCAACCCTGTTAGTCTGAAATGTAAGATATAACTTCATTTGTTTATAAAAAATAATCATATTTGTTAAAGTTTGTTGTTTGTGTTAGAATATTGTTTTACAGAGAGAGTTGTTATTTATCATTGAGGCCACAGTGAGCAGTAGGTTATGTGTAAATAACATCATCATAAGTGTTTTAGCCAAGGTCAAACACCAGAGTGGAGACAACTGTATGATATGATGAAACCTTTTAATGTTTTACTCAGATATGACACTCACACTCCAAGATGGTCCACAGTACCTTGGTCCACAGTACCTTGGTCCACAGTACTGGTCCATACTTGGTCCAGTACAGTACCATGGTCCACAGTACTTTGGTCCACAGTACAGTACCATGGTCCACAGTACCTTGGTCCTGGAGTCATAATGATCTATAGTCACCCATTAAATTGGCATCATCTCTCCTCCTGAACCCCAAGATTCAGACTCATGAACCTGAAGCAGTGAACGGTGGTGTTCATGAGTCATTCTTGTGGTTCATGGTTCAGGATTATCAGTGTGTGGGTGACTGTGTAGACTGACTGGCTCAACATGAACTGTTATTACATATCCCGTGAAGAGTGTGACTGGTGATGTAGATGTGAGGTGAGACATGACTGGTCTCTATCTCTCCAGACAGTTAGTTACTTCTCACACAATTTATACAAGAGATAATTTCTGCATCAATTTCCCATTTTTCCTTTCATGAAATTTGTCACATACGAATATTTTTAATTAAAGTATAGAGATATTTCTTGAGTATAGTATATAGTGTAGTGTAGTATAGTGTAGTGAAATAATTTATGAGGTTTTTGTTTTACGGAAAAGGAAATAAAAGAATGATTGTGGCTTATAGTTTACTGAAGTACAAAAATAAGTAAATGGCTGATCTTTTGTTGCAGTTATAGGTCTGGGAGTCATCTTAGTAGTGGTTGTTCTTGGATTAGTCGCTCTCATTGTCTGGCGGATCTTGGCCAGCATCCACGACAAGAGAGAGTACGCTAGGTTTGTGATGGACAGGCACGAGGAGAAATGGGTTGAGGTGAGTCTAATTAACCATCTACCCCCCCCCACACACACACCCCTCTACCACCCCACACACACACACACACCCTCTACCCCACACACACACACACACACCCTCTACCCACCCCCACACACACACACACACACACACCCTCTACCCACCCCCCCCCACACCCTCTACCACCCCCACACACACACACACACACCCTCTACCCCACACACACACACATCTACCACCCCCACACACACCCTCTACCCACCCCCACACCCTCTCACCGCCCCCCACACACCTCTACCACCCCCACACACCCTCAACCACCCCCCACACACACCCTCTACCACCCCCACACACACACCCTCCCCACCCCCACACACACCTCTACCCACCCCTCCCACACACCCTCCTACCCCTCCCACACCCTCTACCCACCCCCACACACACCCTCTACCACCCCCCACCCTCTACCCGCCCCACACCTCTACCCCCCACACACAGTTGTTGACATATGTGTGTTAGAAATTTATGCAATATATAATTCTGAACAATTATTAACAAAGACCAAATTAAAACATACTATTTTTGATGTAATGTTTCTTTATATAAACCACTATGTTTTGTTATGGCATTAAACCACTATGTTTTGTTATGGCATTAAACCACCATGTTTTGTTATGGCATTAAACCACCATGTTTTGTTATGGTATTAAACCACTATGTTTTTTATGGCATTAAACCACCATGTTTGTTACATTAAACCACCATGTTTTGTTATGGCATTAAACCACCATGTTTTGTTATGGCATTAAACCACCATGTTTTGTTTATGGCATTAAACCACCATGTTTTGTTATGGCATTAAACCACCATGTTTTGTTATGGCATTAAAACTATGTTTTGTTATGGCATTAAACCACTATGTTTTGTTATGGCATTAAACCACCATGTTTTTTTATGGCATTAAACCACTATGTTTTGTTATGGCATTAACACATGTTTTGTTATAAACCACTATGTTTGTTATGGCATTAAACCACTATGTTTTGTTATGGCATTAAACCATGTTTTTGTTATGGCATTAAACCACCATGTTTTGTTATGGCATAAAACTATGTTTTTTGGCATTAAACCACCATGTTTTGTTATGGCATTAAACCACTATGTTTTGTTATGGCATTAAACCACTATGTTTTGTTATGGCATTAACCACCATGTTTTGTTATGGCATTAAACCACCACATTTGTTGCATTAACCACATGTTTTGTAATTGTTATGGCATTAAACCACCATGTTTTGTTATGGCATTAAACCACTATGTTTTGTTATGGCATTAAACCACCATGTTTGTTATGGCATTAAACCACTATGTTTTTGTTATGGCATTAAACCACTATGTTTTGTTATGGCATTAAACCACCATGTTTTGTTATGGCATTAAACCACTATGTTTTGTTATGGCATTAAACCACTATGTTTTGTTATGGCATTAAACCACTATGTTTTGTTATGGCATTAAACCACCACATTTTGTTATGGCATTAAACCACCATGTTTTGTTATGGCATTAAACCACACATTTTGTTATATTAAACCACCATGTTTTGTTATGGCATTAAACCACCATGTTTTGTTATGGCATTAAACCACCATGTTTTGTTATGGCATTAAACCACCATGTTTGTTATGGCATTAAACCACACATTTGTTATGGCATTAAACCACCATGTTTTGTATGGCATTAAACCACTATGTTTTGTTATGGCATTAAACCACTATGTTTTGTTATGGCATTAAACCACTATGTTTTGTTATGGCATTAAACCACTATGTTTTGTTATGGCATTAAACCACTATGTTTTGTTATGGCATTAAACCACTATGTTTTGTTATGGCATTAAACCACTATGTTTTGTTATGGCATTAAACCACTATGTTTTGTTATGGCATTAAACCACTATGTTTTGTTATGGCATTAAACCACTATGTTTTTTTATGGCATTAAACCACCATGTTTTGTTATGGCATTAAACCACTATGTTTTGTTATGGCATTAAACCACCATGTTTTGTTATGGCATTAAACCACCATGTTTTGTTATGGCATTAAACCATCATGTTTTGTTATGGCATTAAACCACCATGTTTTGTTATGGCATTAAACCACCATGTTTTGTTATGGCATTAAACCACTATGTTTTGTTATGGCATTAAACCACTATGTTTTGTTATGGCATTAAACCACTATGTTTTGTTATGTCATTAAACCACCATGTTTTGTTATGGCATTAAACCACTATATTATTTACAGAATGTGAGTCCACTGTACAAGCCAGCTACAACTGTTGTGTCTAATCCTCTGTTTGGCACCAAGTTTGATTAGACACCAGCTGACTCCTGCCATCATAGTTGACCTTTTATAAGTTGTTTTAAGGTTTTGTTAAGTAATAAGTATCTTGTTATGTTTATATCCCATTGTTTGTTTGTTGGTAAATTTGTTTAATTGTTGGTGACCGTGGGGGGGAGGGGGAGGGGGGGTTGTTTATCTGTGGTCCGGTAAGAAAGTTCAAGATAAGTAATAGTTCTAAAGCACACTGCTCCATCTTGGGCCCAATACATTATTTTGGAAACAGACTTTTTACAAATATTTCTGAGTATTTTTGATTGATTTATTTACTGAGTATAATAATAATAAGGTAATTTGAGATCATCTAAAAGTATAATTACTATTGGTGGTGATCATCAGAGTACAGTACCGTATTATTAACATACCATACAGATGATTAAGGTTAATTTGGTTTGTTTTAACAGTATTATTTAGTTATTAACGGAGTACAACACACGTGAGATGCTTGTGTTTATTGATAGTTACCTGGTGGTATATATGGTACAGTGTCTGAATCCTGTAACCTTCCAATTTAATTCTCAGTCTCTCATGGGGTACACTGTAACCTTCCAGTTTAATTCTCAGTCTCTCATGGGGTACACTGTAACCTTCCAATTTAATACTCAGTCTCTCATGGGGTACACTGTAACCTTCCAGTTTAATTCTCAGTCTCTCATGGTCTGAATCCTGTAACCTTCCAATTTAATTCTCAGTCTCTCATGGGGTAGACTGTAACCTTCCAATTTAATTCTCAGTCTCTCATGGGGTACAGTGTCGAAAACCTTGGCAAATCCAGGTACTGTATATATTGTCAATATTGCCGCCCTGATGCAGAATTTCTTTGGACCCAAATTCTGGAACAAGGCGGCAATATTGACAATTTACACCTAGACTTTGCCAAGGTTTTTGACAGTGTACACCATGAGCGGGATTTGGGGAAGTGTCCGAGCTTCGACCGGAGACTTTTTGCATGATCATAAGCAGTGTATGGTGATGAATGGTACAAAACCTGTCCTAGCATCATCATTTTAACCTAACCTAACCTAACCTAACCTAACCTATCCTAACCTAACCTACCCAAAAAGTAGATAATTAGTGATGGATTAACCGGGTGATTCATAATGATTAAAGGAGACAATGAGTGACATAAGTGCCATTAATTATAAAACTCATTAGATAACCACAAGGTAATAATTATAATAATAAACACTGATAAATTGATCATTGTAAAGTAACAAATAGATCACAAGTGTTTCACGAGAGTATGTTGCTATTGTTGTATTGGACAAACATTCCTACTGTTTTTTATATTACATTTTAACATTAAACTTTTATTACAACACAAACCTGGATTTTGTTTCTTCTTCATCAAAATTCCAACTTTTTTTATTGTATATTATTAAAATAATTTTTTAAAGATAGTGTCTAGCCAATTGTTTTTCATGTCTCATGGCCTCTAGGAACCTCTCCTCCTCATGGCCTCTCCTCTCATGGCCCTAACCCCTGGCCCTATGGCCCTCACAGCCTCTAGGAACCTCTCACAGCCTCTAGGAACCTCTCATGGCCTCTAGGAACCCCTCATGGCCTCTAGGAACCCTCCCACGGCCCTAGGACCCTTTCATGGCCTCTAGGCCTTCATCTCCTCATGGCCTCTAGGAACCTCTCATGGCCCTACCCTCATGGCCTCTAGGAACCCTCTCATGGCCTCTAGGAACCTCTCATGGCCTCTAGGAACCTCTCATGGCCTCTAGAACCCTCTCACAGCCCTAGAAACCTCTCATCATCTAGGAACCCTCCTCTCGTGGCCTCTAGGAACCTCTCATGGCCCTCTAGGACCCTTTCATGGCCCTAGAACTCATGGCCTCTAGGACCCCTCATGGCCTCTAGAACCCCTCATGGCCTCTAGGACCCTTTCATGGCCTCTAGGAACCCTCCTCATGGCCTCTAGGAACCTCCTCATGGCCTCTAGGAACCTCTCATGGCCCTCCAGGACCTCTCACAGCCTCCAGGAACCTCTCATGGCCTCTAGAACCTCATGGCCTCTAGGAACCCCTCCCCTAGAACCCCATCCTAGGAACCCTCAGCTCCCCTCTCATGGGCTCTCTAGGAACCTCTCATGGCCTCTGGAGAACTCTCTCATGGCCTCTAGACCTCTCAAGGAACCTCTCATGGCCTCTAGGAACCTCTCACTCTCTCTCACAGCCTCTAGGAACCCTCCTCATGGCCTCAGGAAGCTCTCGTGGCCCTGGAACCTCTCACAGCCCTAGGAACCTCCTCATAGCCCTAGGAACCTCTCACAGCCCTAGGAACCTCATGGCCTCTAGGAACCTCTCGTGGTGAACCTCTCACAGCCTCTAGAACCTCATGGCCCTGGAAGCCTCTAGGAACCTCTCACAGCCTCTAGGAACCTCTCACAGCCTCTAGGAACCTCTCATAGCCTCTAGGAACCTCTCATAGCCTCTAGGAACCTCTCACAGCCTCTAGGAACCTCTTACATGGGGCCCTAGGGGCCACCTAGTAATCCCATGGGGCCTCTGGCACTGGTAGGACCCCTGGGGTCTTCCTGATAGTCCCATGGGGCACTGGAAGGGCCCTTGAGGGCCTCCTGGTACTCCAATGGGGCCCTTGCACCTGCTCGTTACCGCTGCTTACTCTCTCGTTTGCTGGTGCGGACGACACTTGGGGTGGTTGGACAGAGGTGAGAACGGCAGCGACTATCTGGGTCACCGGCAGATTCAACCCAGCCGCCATACAATCGCTATCTAGCTACCCGCTGTTCGTCAAATTCTGGCTGTGATCTCATCATAGGTCCTGGACTCGTGGGCTGTGTCCCCAGACCTTCACCTATCGACTGTCAATTCTCTGGTCATCTACCACTACCGCATACCACGACCGTCAGTTCATCTCATTCCGTCAGTGCCACGGTGTTCTCCTGCCATTTCAAGACGTCGCTCGAGTGTGGAGTTGAATGGAAACTTCCCTACCCTGAGTGTGGATCACCGTGTTCCAGAACCTTCCCCCAGGGCCACTGCCGTAGGAAATATCTGTTCATTGTTTGATTCTATCAGTTGTTGACTCCCATAAATTGTTTGACTCCATTAACTGTTGACTCCATTAATTGTTTGACTCCCGTAATTGTTATTTGATGTTTGTTGAGTGGTGTCAGAGTTTTGTGTTATATTTTTTATAGTAAAGAGATGTCAATCTTAAACGGTTGTTTGTTATTCCTCAGAAAACCATGGTCCTTGACTTTCCTTTATTAAGATCCTGATTGGTCTGGTAAGGGATTTTTATCCCAAAGTCCCAGGCCTTTGCACCTGGTAAGGCCTTGGGGGCCCCCTGGTAGGCCCCTGGGGCCCTTGGGAGCCCCCTTGTTGCCTCATAGGGCCCCTGAGAGCACCCTTGTAGTCCCATAGGGCTCCAGGCCCAGGTAGGCCCCTGGGAGCACCCTGGTAGTCCCATAGGCCCCTGGACCCTGGTAGGTCAATGTTTGAACCTATCTAGCGTGGTGGAGTTAATGATGTTTGGTAACTTGTTCCACTCACCCACTACTCTATTACCAAACCAATATTTACCTAGACATGGAATTGGATCACTTATATAACCCTAATATAAGGAGTTTGATTACTGTCCCATGTTATATAAGATACTATGAAGATCAGTGCCATCTAGGGGTCGTCAACAGTACCAACACAGTATATACACTTTGGGACACTAGACTGAAGTAGTATATAAGCTTTGGGACACTAGACTGAGGTCATTTATAAACTTTGGGACACTAGACTGAGGTAGTATATAAACTTTGGGACACTAGACTGAGGTAATTTATAAACTTTGGGACACTAGACTGAGGTAATTTATAAACTTTGGGACACTAGACTGAGGTAGTATATAAACTTTGGGACACTAGACTGAAGTAGTATATAAGCTTTGGGACACTAGACTGAGGTAATTTATAAACTTCTGCCACACTAGACTGAGGTAATTTATAAACTTCTGCCACACTAGACTGAGGTAATTTATAAACTTCTGCCACACTAGACTGAGGTAATTTATAAACTTCTGCCACACTAGACTGAGGTAATTTATAAACTTCTGCCACACTAGACTGAGGTAATTTATAAACTTCTGCCACACTAGACTGAGGTAATTTATAAACTTCTGCCACACTAGACTGAGGTAATTTATAAACTTCTGCCACACTAGACTGAGGTAATATATAAACTTCTGCCACACTAGACTGAGGTAATTTATAAACTTCTGCCACACTAGACTGAGTAATTTATAAACTTCTGCCACACTGGGCAGGTAATTTATAAGCCTCTGCCACTGGGCTAGAGTAATTTATAAACTCTGCCACTAGACTGAGTAATTTATAAACTTCTGCCACACTGGGCAGGGTAATTTTATAAACTTCTGCCACTAGGCCGGTAATTTATAAACTTCTGCCACACTAGACTGAAGTAATTTTTAAACATTGGGACACTAAGACTGAGGTAATTTATAAACTTCTGCCACACTAGACTGAGGTAATTTATAAACTTCTGCCACACTAGACTGAGGTAATTTATAAACTTCTGCCACACTAGACTGAGGTAGTATAATAAACTTAAAGCATTAGTGAGAGGCAAAAGGTAACAATCGTTTGGATAATTTGCTAATTACCGTCCACCTTGTAGGAGTTCCGGCAGACCAAGGATTGTTAGTTCTTAGTTTAATAAGTTGCCTTTTTGTATCTACCTGTCTTACTCAGCCTTAATTAACCCTGGTTAAAGTATTAAGGTTAATAATAATAAATGTGGAAGGATCATTGTGGTCAAATATAATTAATAACTTTTTCTCCCGCAAGATGTCGCCACCAGCACTGTTGACACGCTCAGTCCGGAAGCGTCAATATGGCTTCGTGACGCTGTATTCGTCTTCTAATGTATCATAAAATTTTGTTATATTATATTTCCCTGAGTTTTAGGCATTATTGGTTGATATTTTACAGTATTCATCATAACAAGGCTAATTTAACAAAACATTTGTATATATTTGAAGGATTTATAATAATTCTCAGCATTACGGACACGTCCAGGCATCTTGACGTTTTGTTTAAAAATTTGTTCATAATTTTATCTTTTAATTTATATTATTTGTCG